ACAGCTCAGTTCAAGCTCACTTCTTCCGTGAAGTGTTCTTGGCAGGGAATTGCTGTTGGAGGAAATGGCCTCTGTGGGCATAGCTCCTGGCTGGGAAATGGAAAAAAAAAATCATGAGAGCAGACAACACTGGTTCGTCACAAAGCTATTTTAAGTTTGAATAGGATAATTTTGTATGAACTATTAAAAATTTATGTAGCATTGGTACAGCTAAACTGTTCTAATACTTGAACATTTTTCTCCTTTTGAGTTTAATGAAGATAAATAATTAAATGGTATTGGGGTCTCAAGTTCCCTGAATCTCTGAAATATTTTTTTCATTTCTTTATGCTGCAGTATTCAAATTCAAGTCTATGTGCCCGGTTAAAGATATCTTTTTCTCTTTTGCTGCCAGCCCACTGATGTGTTAAATAGATTAATAGACCCTGATGATTGAAAAGTGTGAATTTAAGGATATGTGTGTAGAATAATCACTTGCACATTATGTCCTATTTTATTATTATATTCAGAAGCTGGATATTTTATATTTTTATATTAAAAATATACATGTTTGTGAGCTTAGGCCCATGTAGTTTTTTTCCAAATGTTTATCCAGATGTTTAGGAGTTTATGAGAGTTTATCTTTTAAAAAGATTTATTTATTTATTTGAGAGAGAGAGAGAGAGAGAGCAGGGGCAGAGGGAGAGAGAATTTCAGGCAGACTCCCGGCCGAGTGTGGAGCCTGACTCAAGGATCCATCTCCCGACCCTGAGGTCACTATCCTGAGATCACGACATGAGTGGAAACTGCCCACTGTGTCGCCCAGCACCCCTAGAGTTTATGGGGGTCTCTTTATGATGAAGATAATAAGAACTGGCTGATTGAACTTTATTGAGGAGTAGATGAAATCATTAAACAGAGACACTAAGGTGGGGCAGTTTTAAAATAAATTAAATAAAAACAATAGGTTCTATTTTCCAATAGGTTGTATTTAAAGTGAGTAGAAAGAAAGAATCAGACTATTTCTGTCATTTGATTGATAATACTAGGGAACCACCTAGGTTTTCCTCTTTAGGTGGTTAGCATTGGACTCACAGAGCTGTTTTCTGGTGAGGAAGTGTTTTCAAAGATGCACATTCAGTCAGTGTCCCATTATTAGCAGGTGTGGCCTGGTGGTTCTGAGTGGCCTTCTGAGCTTGGCAACCTTGTGTAGCAAAGTTGCCATTATTTGAGCATTATCTGGCTTGTGGAGTGTTCAGATGTGTGGAAGGTAGTAGGTTGGGGAGCATACTTACTAGGATTTTTAAGTTCCTTTGACTAGCCAATAACTTCTACTTATCAGAAGCTCTATTTTAAAAAATTTAAATAACTCACTGACAGTTTTGAAACGAAAAGTGCTGATGCCTGTGTGGACACACATAGACTTGTGTCATGCACTGGATGAGCCCGTTGTGTTCTCCTGCCTGCTACTTGCCTAGTCACAGATCTGTGATGAGCTCGTAGGTATTGTCTCAAAGAGGCTGGCCAGTGCTCTAGAACTGTCCAAGTCCTTCCCAACTGGAGAAACACTAACTGGGAAGCCTGAAAACATGTCATTCAGTTTGGATTTTGCTTTCTTTAATAGGGCCTTTTAGCACTTTGTCACTGTCTCCCAATCTGTACATGGAGATAGTAGTTACTATGAGACTGTGAGTGAGTGCTCAAGATGGTTAGATCCTTGGGTGGAAGGCAACCCCAGAGCCGACTCTCCAACGTCACCACTCCCGAAGCCTTCTGGGAGTGGCCCCTATCCCTTGGCCCCCTCCCATTATCCCTGTTACCCAAGAGGGAATGCCTCTTTTCAACTATGATTTATTTAATATGAAATACTTTGAAAGGTTACTTTGCAATGGTATTTATAAAATGTTGCATACATCTGGAGAGTTACCAGATAGTATTTTTATGCTAATGCTTTCTTAAAAACTTGTTATAATTTTAGTAATAAGAAACTCAGAAAATCCTTTAATACTACCAGATACTAATATTAAATTAGAGCCTGCTGAATTGCTCATAGTGCTTAATGTAACTACACAATCTAGATATCCCAGCTTCCTTATGATAATAAATGTCAGGGATTGCATGTTACCTTGAGTCTTATTTACGGTTTAGAGAATATGGTGATTTACCTTCAAATATACAGAGAACTGAAACAATTCCTTCAGATAATATCCTACCTTAATTAAAACAACTAACAATGACTTTTACACGGAGAGACCATCAATCTTCAGTTTCTAATGTGAATTAAAATAAAATCTAAGAAAGGAGATGGAGATATTTTCTAGCAAAAAGAAGAATATTTTTAGGAAAATCTGGAAAACATAGCTTTTCTTAGAAAGGTCAAGGAAATATGACAGTGTTTGCTATGCACTTCTAATAATCACCTGACTTAAGAGAGCCTCTTGGTGTGATACAAAGTGCTAAGTAACCAGTTTGATGGAATTTGCAGTTACCTATGGTTGTTTTTAGAATCATGTGAAGAGTGAAATTTAACTACAGAATATTGACCTGGATTCACAAATTGCTGAGATGCATGATACCATTTGTCCTTATAAGGTCCAGTGTTGAATATGCAAATAAAACTTGTCATATTGCATACAAGTCAATATTTATGTTAAAGGTTGCCTTTTGAGAACCAAACCCCATACAAAAGCAAACTTTTACAAAATATTAACAATTTGATTATAATACCAAATTGAGACAACCAGCATTGGAAATGTGTATTATAGTTTCTAAGGGGAAGCAAACTGAGTTGGTTGAGGAGTGGTCATTTGCTATTTGGACAGACACTTTCTATCACTGTAAATAATCTCTGAGGCTATTGTAATACAGTGTAATGAACACTGATCAAAATGACTGTAAATCATCAGTGAAAAGTATGTTCAATATGTTATATTTAAGAAAACAAATAGGATGCTCTGGTTCAACAGTGTGGATTCAGTGCTTATATTTATCTCTATTCCCTCCCAACAACCTAGTCAAATACCAGTTAAAGAATAAAAAACGATATAAACCTACAAGGACAAAGGCAAGAGAAGAAAAGACTGCAGACAAGAGGTATCTGTAAACTTTTAGGAGATAGAAAGCAAATGGAAGAGGGGTAACTGTCAGGTTTGAGTTTTTCCTGTTCTGTTAAGTTCCATTAGGGGAAAACCAAGAAGCAAGCCAATTGAAGATCCAGGAATTGAAAGCACATGAAAACAGAGAGGCTGGTTGAAAGTCTACAAGAGGGTACTTCAATCCCTGATGTACTCCATACCCCATATAACCAGGCAGCCGTCCCTTCTCTGCTCTGATAGAAGAGTTCTGTTTATAGAGAAAAATGGAAAGGAGTGAATTATCAGAGAAATAATAAAAGTTTCCTAGAACTGAAGTGCATGCATTTTCTTGATTAAAAGGTTTGACCAAGTGTTTAGCACAGTGAATAAACAAAGACCCACACCAAGGCACGTCTTGAGATTTCATGAAAATGGGGATGAATAAAACTCTCTAAAGTTTTCTTGAAAGGGGAAAATTTTATTTTATAAAAATTATCAAGGGGTGCCTGGGTGGCTCAGTCAGTTAAGCATCTGCCTTCAGCTCATGTCATGATCCTAGGGTCGTGGGGTCGAGTCCTGCACTGGGCTCCTAGTTCTGTGGGAAGTCTGCTTCTCCCTCTCCCTCTGCCTGCCATTCCTCCTGCTTGTGCCTTTCTCTCTGTCAAATCAATCAATAAATCAATCAATCAGTCAATCTTTAAAATATTATCTGACATTAAATAGCATCCAGTTCTCAGCAGCAACATTAGAAGCTGTGCACAATGTTGTTGAAATGCCAAGAGAAAATAATTTCCAATCTAGAATTCTCTACCGACCCAAATGATTGATCTAGTTTGAAGATAGAAAAAGAAAGTTTTATATGTGTAGGTTCTCACCAAATTTATCTTCCATGATCACTTTTTCAAGAAAGCACCAGAAGATGTGTACCTTCAAAAAAGGGGAGAGTGAGATCATGAATGGAGAAGACATGGGGTCTAGGATTCTGCATAGAAGGAAGCAGAAGAGTTCCCAGGATAGCCCTAAACAGAACTCCTGGTTGGTGGCTCTATGTCAGGCCTAGTGGGAGGCTGAAGGGGGACAAGAGGGCTGTCTCCAGGAGTAAAATGGATGTGATAAATTACCTGTTATGTTTAACTAGGATGTAGAGTATAAATATTCCACTCAGAAATACATAGATAACAACAGAAGAAATAGATAAAAGTTAAAAACAATAGCCATGGAGATAGGGAAAAAGTAACTGCTGTGTTCTTTCTAAAGATTTATTTATTTGAGAGAGAGAAAGAAGGCACATGTGTGTGTGGGCAGGGGGAGGGGTAGAAGGAGACGGAGAGAATCCTCAAGCAGACTCCCTGCTGAGCATGGAGCCCATGGCAGGGCTCGATCTCATGACCCTGAGATCATAACCTGAGCAACAATCAGGAGTTGGGCGCTCAATGAATTGGGCCACCCAGGCACCCCTGTGTTTTTACAATAGGCCTTGTAATTACTACTTGACTCTGAAAATTAAGTTCATGTAATACTTCTAAGAAAATTTTAAACTAATTTTAAAAGGTAGGAAAGCAAACAATAAGATTTTATGTAGTTTTCTGTCAAATGCAGTTATTAACAGCACCTTTGGGGTCTCTCCTCAATGAGAGAGTAGGCCTTCCATAGTCATATCTGGTAAGTATCTACTCCTTTGCATGTATAAGAAAGGTATGTAAGTTGTACCAGTTGTGTTGGTGTTGTATTCCTGTTAATAGCTTTTTCTTCTTCATTAAGTGTAATAATATGACGTCATTATAGAAGAGCTGAAAAATTGCCTAGTGCCCTTTGGGATTTCATGTCAACCAGGAGGACTTTGCGGGACCATCTCTGCAATCCTTTTTGGCTTATAGAAGCATCTGTAAGAGTGAATGATAACCCCGGAAGCATGGCTAATCAATGAAACCTTCCTCTGTGTTGTAGGGTGGAGAGCACTGTTACTACCACGGAAGCATCCGAGGTGTCAAAGACTCCAGGGCAGCTCTGTCGACCTGCAATGGACTTCAGTACGTGCGAGTCATAGTGGGAGGGTGAACTTGATTTCATCCATTCACTGTTTCTGTCTTTCCACAGATGCTTGTTGTAGTGACTCTTCTGTGCCAGTCGCATGTTAAGAGCTGGATACGGAGTGATGAACAAGGAGGGCATAGTCTCTGTTCTCTTAACAGAGTTTGCAAGAGATTCAGAGATTAAACAAGTGATTACATAGATTAATCTTTAATTGCCATTCTGGTAGGAACTGTGAAGGGGAGGGTCAGGGACTTACGGGGTGACCAAACCTAGTCTAGGAAGGTTTCCCAGAGGTATATGTCAGAGGACATAGCGGCAGGTGCTGTTGGCCAGGTGAGGATGGGAGGCCAGAGAGAGGAGTTCATACATCGACTTGAAGGCAGGCTCTAGAAAAATTTCTCTAAGCACCTTTTGGACCCAAATAGTAATACTTGATGTAAAGGTGTAGCTGTGGGCCTGTGATGAAAAAGGATCTTGAAAATCTTAATCTTCCTATATCTCTCAAAATGATATGCAATATAGAGTCATACTGCTTAATGGAAATTCACAATTTGCAGCCATAAATATGCTTCTGTTCACCTCTTCAGAATCAGATGGTTTTAGATTACTCTATTGCACAAAGCACCTGCTTTTTCCTAGATGATACCAGATTTGCGTAAGAAAAAAAAATGTACTAGATGTACATTGTCTTGGAATTATATTGTGACATACTGGAACTGTATGAATAGCCCTGTACCAGATTAATCCTCTAATCTTTCCATTTTGTTTCAAAAATGTATTATAACATTTCTAACTTCTATGCTTGTGGTATATACACTTTTAACACCTTTGGTGGCCTGTCTGCTGTCTAGTACAGTTCTGAGACCACAGACAGGTGTATGAATTAGATTTGGGACAGCATAAAGATGTTTGTTCAGATATACTGTTCATTTTTAAAGATGCACTGTGAAGCTCATTTGCTGTTTTTGTTAATTTTCTCCTCGTGTGGTTTCTTGTCTTGTAGTGGTATGTTTGAAGATAATACCTTTGTATATATGATAGAACCACTGGAGCTGATTCACGATGAAGTAAGTCTGTGATCTCAGTTTCCTGATGGCGTTATATTCTTTTAGCATCTTTGCCTTTGAGCCATAAAGAACAGAACGTGAATGTCAATGTACGTTGATAGGTAGTACCTTATTTCAAACATAGAATGACACCATGAATTTTGAAGTTTAAATCACACGTCTCAGGTGTGTTGAGAAGCTGGTGCTGGTGTTTTGAATTTAGAAATATGCAGATTATGACCTGCTGAATTGGGGAACACAGGCCACCTACACGGGCTCAGCAGGTGGCTCCGAGCTCCCACTCTGGGGAGATGAAACCCATGGTTGTTTTGAGTGGAGGTGCAGTTTCAATACACTCACCCAGGGCAAGTAAAGTCACGGGATTTACTACATACAGATCCCAGTATCTGGGAGGGGAGCAGTAAGCCAGAGGAAGAGTGGTCCTCCACCCCAGGTGATGAGAGAGCAGGAGATAGCAGGTACCAGGCACCTATTGCTTGAAAGGTGTTTGGAATGCAAGTCCCTGACTTTAGCAGGCTTAATTCTAAGTGGTTATTTTAAAAGGTGCCCTGGGAAAATTGAAGTGGGAACTTAGCATGGGAATTCTAAACTCAAGTTCTTATGGAAATGTCCAGACTCTGGGTGTGAGCAAGGTTATCAGGCTGTAAAATGCCTAGGCAGCAGCTCAGAAAAACAAAAGTTGTTTTTCTCATCACACCAGGCCACACACCAGTAAGGGATGATAAGAGGCAACAAATCTAGGTTTTTGGAAGTGAAGGCAGTTCTTTCCAGTCTATAGAGCAGAGAGGACATTCTGTTTTGTACTGACCACCTTCTTTTCCTTTTTATTTTATTTTACTTTATTTTATTTTATTTTATTTTATTTATTTTATTTTATTTAAATGCAGCTAACTAATATAAAATACACACTTGGTTTCAGATAGAGTGTGCAATGATTTATCAGTTGCGTATAACACCCAGTACTTTTAATCTCACCTCTTCTTTAGAGAATTGTATAACTATAATATACTTAACTTTTAAAAGAATCTCCAGTGGGGAAATTTGTAGTTGAACTATGATTATATTAGATAGCATTTAATTTCCTTTAGATAGGGAAGAAAATAATGTTTAGAAACATGCATGGGGCAGCAACCTGGATGAGAAACCATAAGGGCATTATGCTAAGTGAAATCAGTCAAATGGAAAAAGACAAATACTATGTAATCTTGGTTATGTGTACAATCTAAAAGTACTGAACTCAGAAACAGAGAACAGGTTAGTGGTTACCAGAAGCCAGTGGGGGAAATGTGTGAAGGTGGTCAAAAGGTACAAACTTCCAGTTATAAGATAAATGAATTCTGGGGTGTAATGTACAACTTGGTGACTATAATATCTTTGTATGTTTGGAAGTTGCAAAGACAATAGATCTTAAAAGTCCTCATCACAAGGAAAAAGTTGTCACTGAGCTGTGATGGATGTTAACTACACTTATTGTGGAGATTATTTTCAGTATATACATACATCAGATCATTATATTTATGCCTTAAACTTATACAAGATTACATGTCAATTATATCTCAATAAAATTGGACAGAAAAAGGAATCATATACTCTCATGGTGTTGCTCACTAATGGAATGAAAACAAATCTGAAATTTGATCTATATTCGTTAGGTATTGTAATGGGGGCTTATGACCCACTGGGCACTATTTTAGGTGCTGGGGATAAAATGATGAATAAGATAGACATTGAGCGTGAGCTTCCTGGAGCTTACAGTCTACAGGGGAAGACAGGGGTATACAGGTTGAGTAAATAATTACATACTGTGTTTTAGATAGTGATATGGCCTAAGGAAAAAGAAGTGAAGCCAAGGGGGTAGAGTTAAAGCTTCAGGGTAACTATCCATGGAAGAGCCAAATGAGATGGTACTTTTGAAGGAGGACTTTCAAGAAATTAGGGAGCTGAAAGGACATTATAGAAGCAGAGCACATGCAAAGGCCCTGAGGCAAGTTCCTAGTGTGTCATAGGAACTCTGAGGAGCTCAGTTGGATTGGACAGGCGTGGACAAAGGGGAGAATGGTAGGAGATGAAGGCACTGGAGGGTGTCAGTAGGGAAGTCACATCAGTGAAAAGGACTGCTAATGTGAAAATAGTATTTCGAGAGTGATCGAGTCAGAATATTGCAATCGTTTGATGTGGAGCAGAAAACATTTTTTTATCTTTAGAGGTTTTACCTGTAGATAAAATAAGTTTTGAAACAGGCTCTAGCCATTTAGGCTATTGATAATTGCAGTTGAATAACATTTTTTTTGTGGCAATGTATATTCAAACATGATGTGAATTTCAAATTTGAGACAACAATGTCATTACATTTTGAATGTTTAAAGTTTGCTTAAACCTGTATCATTTTTCAACTATTAAATATAAAAATTACTGCATAACAAAGACAACTACCCCTAGATAAAGGCATTTTGACTAATTAAAATGTTTTTCCCCTACTCTCGTGGTAGGTAAATAACTTGTACACAGCCAGATTATTTGACTCGGTCAGCAGAACAGTCAACTTTGATATCTTGCATTGATTAATGGCCCTGTTACACTAAAAAAATAAAAAACAAAAGAACCCAAAGAACAAAACAAAAAAACCCAAAATAACAACTCCCTAAGCTTCAGGTTTCTAAATATGTAAAATAAGATGATTTTTCAATGCATCCCCAATAGAGCAGTTTTGTAGGTTTGATGAATAAACAAAGGTATGTGACTATGTTTAATAAACTGTTGAAGAGATTTATAAATACCAACTATCATAGTATTTAGCGCATTGGTTTTACATTGTTATACCCGTGATCATATTCTTCAGGGGCTGATTGTTCCATGCCTACTGCCTTTTCTCTTTTGCTTTCTTCCTTACTCCCTACCTTTTGTTCATGAAACAGTCTGTCTTCTTCACTGTGGGAGAGGGAAAGGAACAGTGCTTAAAGTTTTAAACTAGTCAGTTTAAAAAATTCTGTTGCTAATCCAGTTGTGAGTTTCATTGCTCTGAGTATCATTTCACCTGTTACCAGAATTAAGAATTTACTGAACTTGAATTTAGATTGTTTGATGTTTAGTTTATTATTGCTGGTTTTAGTATGCTTTAGTATGCTTGACTTATTAGTCAAGTAACATGGATGGGATATTTCCAATAAGAATTCATGTTATCTCTCAAGTAGTGAGGAGCAAAACTCTTAATTATTGTGAGTCTCATATGTAATCTATTTAGAATACTCTTTTTATAACTATTTTTCTGCCCATGAAACTAATACAACTAATACATTGTAGGATATTTGGAAAAGCAAATAAGCAAATACTTACCTACATCCCATTCTGGAGAAAGAATTTCTCTTCACCTTTCAGTATACACTCTTTCAGTTTTTCAATGATGTGGTCTCACATATTTTTAAAATAAATTGAATAATTATTCTGTAATAGGATTTTAGCTCAATAATGGATCTCTCTGAGCCACAATATTTTTGTTTATAAAATAAAGATAAAATATGCATTATATAGAGTTCTTGTGAAGATTAAATCAGGTAACATGTACATTAACAGTGTCTGGCACATATTTTGCACTCAATAATGGAAGCTGATGGTAATAATAGTACTGGAAATAAGATATTTCTAAAAGTGTGGTTTCTAGGAGAAAGGATATGAATATTTTCAAGGTTGTTGATAGACATTGCTAAATTTCTCTTTGAACTATGCTCCCAATTTATTCCTATCAGCAGAGCATGAGAGTGCTTTTTACCTTGCAACCATAATTAACTACAGTTATCATAATTTTAAAACCTTTGTCAACTTGACGGCAAAAATTGGTGTATCTTTTTTTTTAAATTTGCATTTTGAAGGGGTATGTAAGCATTCATCTTTTTTTATATGTTCATTCACTGTTTGTTTCTTTCTTGTGAATTTCCTATTCGTGGCTTTGAAGAAAGCTGAGGTTTCAGAGAAGCTAATGAAACTATGCTTTTATCTACACTGGGGCAATTGGATGGTGCTCTGTTTTTTTGAATTAAAGTTTCAATAAGATATACTTTTTATTTTTGATAGCAAAAACATTAGCATATAAATGTTCCCATTTTAAGAAGGATATTGGAGAAAGTTCTAACACTGTTCCAGAGAAGCTTAATCGCATCTTGCTTTTTAATTGTCTGCAATTGTTTTTGTTTCAGAAAAGCACAGGTCGACCACATATAATCCAGAAAAGCTTGGCAGGACAATATTCTAAGCAAATGAAGAATCTCAGTAAGTTTTAATTAAGGTAGCCATTTAATCTTATGTAATAGGGGTGTGCCTTGATGAAACTGGGTGCAGACGCAGGCTTACTAGGCAGTAGAAATGCTCTGTGGTAAGTAGTGTGGGTGGGCAGGGGAATAGATTGTGACTGGTGTGTAATGAGGCACAGATAGTCATTGCCGATGGAAATGGTGACATATGAAGCCCAGGGTAAACCTCTGTTAGGAACCAGACAGTGTGGCTAAATTTAATGGTGATTTGTAATGAGGCTCACCCTTAAATTTCCCTGGCAGTTTACTGATTTTTTGACAGTTTATATTGTCTCTCTCTTATGCTCTGGTCCCAAGGCATCTTAAGCATGCTGATGTTGACAAAAGCTTCTTTTGGATTATTGGGTTATGTGATATTACTTCTGTATATTAATGCCAAAAGCCTTTAATAATTTATGCAAAATCTTATGCCATACATTATTTTTAAATCTCAAATGAATTTAGCACACTGAAATGCTTTTAAATTTTCAGATATTGAGGGTCAGGTGATTGTAGGTCAAATATGCATATTCCAATGAATCTTGAATGGCCCGTTACATTTTGATGATGTTGAAGAAAATGATATTTGAATTATAAATTATAATTTGTGCATTACAAATAGAATTTGAATTGTGACCATGAGAATGTGAAATGTTTAACGAGTGGTGTACGTTTTTCACCTTGGTTTATTTTGATTTTGAGGTGATGTGTGCTATTAATGCTGCTATTTCTCCACGTAGTATTTTTATTTTATTTGTTTTCATCATGATAAGTATCTTCTTTAATCCCCATAACCTATCTTACTCATTCCCTCCTCCCATCTCCCTTCTGGTAGACATCAGTTTGTTTACTATAGTTGAGTTTCCTGGTTTGTCCCTTTCTTTTTTTCCTTTGTTAATTTGTTTTGTTTCTTAAATTCCACTTATGAGTGAGATCTCATAGTATTTGTTTTTCTCTAACTTATTTTGGTTAGTATTATACTCTCTAGCTCCATCCCTGTTGTTGCAAATGGCAAAATTTCATTCTTTTTTATGGCTGAGTAATATGCCAGTGTGTGTGTGTGTGTGTGTGTGTGTGTGTGTGTGTGTGTGTGTGTATACACCACATCTTCTTTATCCTTTCATCTATTGATGGACATTTGGGCTGCTTCCATAGTTTGGGTATTTTAAACAATGCTGCAATAAACATAGGCTGCATGTATCCCTTTGAATTAGTGTTTTTATATTTTTTGGGTAAATACCTAGTAGTGTGATTGCTGGATTGTAGGGTAGTTCTTTTTTTAACATTTTGAGGAACCACTGTACCATTTGCCAGAGTGGTTGCACCAGCTTGTATTTCCCACCAACAGTGCAAGAGGGTTTCTCTTTCTCTACATCCTCGCCAACACTTGTTGTTTCTTGTGTTTTAGATTTTTTCCATTCTGACAGGTGTGAGGCAATTATCTTGTAGTTTTGATTTGTATTTCCTTGATGAATAATGATATTGATCATCTTTTCATGTGTGTGTGTTGGGCATCTAGATGTCTTCTTTGGAGAAATGTTTGTTCATATCTTCTGTTCGTTTTTTTACATATTTTTTTTGGAGAGAGAGTGCATACAGGAGGGAAGGGACAGAGAGAGGGAGAGAAAGAAGCCCAAGCCAGCTCCATGCCCACCCTATAGTGCAATGCAGGCCTTGATCCCATGACCCCGAGATCATGACCTGAGCCAAAATCAAAAGCTGGACACTTAACCGACTGAGCCACCCAGGCGCCCCTCTTCTGTTCATTTTTTAATTGGATTATTTGAGTTTTGGGTGTTGAGTTGTATCAGTTCTTTATATATTTTGGATACTAGTTCTTTATCGGATATGTTATTTGCAAATACCTTCTATTCAGTAGGTTGCCTTTAAGTTTTGGTGATGGTTTGCTGTGCAAAAGCATTTTATTTTGAGAGAGTTCCATTAGTTTATTTTTTATTTTGTTTCCCTTGCCTCAGGAGACATATCTAGAAAAATGTTGCCATGGCTGATGTCAGAGAAATTACTGCTTGTGCTCTCTTCAAGGATGTTTATGGTTTTAGGCCTCACATTTAGGTTTTTAACCCATTTTGAGTTTATTTTTGTGTGTGATGAAATAAAGTCGTCCCATTTCATTTTTTTGTGTGAAGCTGTTGTTGAAGAGATTTTCTTTTTTTCCATTTTATATTCATTCCTCCTTTGTTGAAGATTAATTCACCATGTAATTGTGGGTTGATTTCTGGTTTTCTCTCCTGTTCTATTGATCTCTGTGTCTGTTTCTATGCCAGTACCATACTGCTTTAATTACTACCACTTTGTAATATAACTTGAAATCTGGAATTGTGATAGCTCGAGTTTTGTTTTTCTTTTTCTGGATTGCTTTGGCTATTTGAGGTCTTTGTGGTTCCATACAAATTTTAAGATTAGTTGTTTCTATTTCTGAGAAAAATGTGTTGGTATTTTAATAGGGATTACAGTAAATCTGTAGATTACTTTGGGTAACCATATTTGTTCTTTCAACCCATGAGCATGGAATGTCTTTCTATTTCAGCATCATCTTGACTTTCTTTCATCAGAGTTTTGTAGTTTTCAGAGTACAGGTTTTCCACCTCTTTGGTTAAGTTTATTCCTAGATATTTTATTGTTTTTGGTGCAATTGTAAATGGGATTGTTTTCCTAATTTCACTTTCTGCTGCTTCATTATTAGTATAGAGGAAGGCAACAGATTCCTGTACATTGATAGTGTATCCTGTGACTTTACTGAAGTCATTTATTGGTTCTAGTAGTTTTTTGGTGGAGTCTTTTGGGTTTTATATATATAGTATTATGTCATTTGCAGATGGTGAGAGTTTTACTGCTTCCTTACCAAGATGGATACCTTTTATTTCTTTTTGTTGTCTGATTGTTGTGGCTAGGACTTCCAGCACTATGTTGAATAAAAGTGGTGAGAGTGAACATCCTGTTCCTGACCTTAGGAGAAAAGCTCTGTTTTTCAACATTGAGTATTATATTGGCTGTGGGTTTTTCATATATGGCCTTTATCATGTTGAGGTTGTTCCCTCTAGACCCGGCTTTGCAGAGAATTTTTATCATGAATAGATGCTGTAGTTTGTCAGATGGTTTACCTGCATCTATTGAAATGATCATGTGGTTTTTATGCTTTCTCCTACTGATGTGATGCATCATGTTGACTGTTTTGTGACTATTGAAACATACTGGGGTCCTGGAAAGAAATCCCACATGATTGTGGTGTATGATTTTTTTAATGTATTATTGGATTCAGTTTGCTAATATTTTGTTGAGGATTTTTGCTTCTACGTTCATCAGGAATATTGGTCTATAGTCTTTATCTGATTTCGGTATCAGGGTTATACTGGTCTCATAGAATGAATTTAGAAATTTTCTTTCCTCTTCTTTTTTTGGTAATAGATTGAGAAGAATAGGTGTTATCTCTTCTTTAAATGTTTGGTAGAATTCACCTGTGAAACCATTTGGTTCTGAATTTTAATTTTGGGGAGAGTTTTTTGATTTCTGATTAAATTTCAATGCTGGTAATTGGTCTGTTCAAATTTTCTGTTTCTTCCTGCTTTAGTTTTGGTACTTTCATACAATATTGTAAAAACATAATATTGCACTATAGTCAGGTATACATTTTTGTATTTCTTTCTCTTTTACACAGGTCTGGAAAGCAATGACCAGTGGCCCTTTCTGTCTGAATTACAGTGGTTGAAAAGGAGAAGGAAGAGAGCAGTGAATGTGAGTGTGGCATTGAATCACAGATGGGGCCACTTCACTCAATTAAATTGTGTGCCTGAAATCACACAGTATCTTAGTTTATCTAAAACAGTTTAGATTTGGGCAACTTCCTCTTGCAAACCAAAACAACAAACCAAATTCCTCCTGTGGTTTGAGTCTTACAGGCATATTGCTTTTAATTCAGCTTTTTCTATTTGATGTAAACTGGTTACAGTGTCCCTTGAACTCTGATGTCATATGAGGAATGTATTGTTTTAGCTTCATACTCAAAACATTTTCTTATGAAGATGGCAGTGCATTTTTTTCTATTAAAACTACAGCAGACTTTTTTATATGACTTATATAACATCATATGAAACATTTTTGTTAACCAAAAAAGTAAGGGGAAGTGTTAGGTTTTAAAATGTTGGCTAATGATGCTTATTTGTATTTCTTTCAAATTTAAAGCTCTGTTGTACCAGAATTTGAAGCTAGATATATTTTTTCTGAGGATCTATTTGACCATTAGTATCATGACAGTTACTAAATAAGAATCATGTAATTATATAATCAACAACTGTAGTATAGCTCCCATGTATTGATAAATGTATAGGAGCTTTGTAACTGAAATTATGTTCCTAGTCTTTTTCATAATACATTAGAAAGCTGTAATGATGGGGACTGTTTCGTAATTACATGGTGAATGCTATGTAACCGAGAATTAATTCCACAGCATATAGATTACATGGTAATTTACTAGATAACTTAATGAGTAATTATACTGAAAATTGCACATTTTAGATAATGTTTTGCTGAATGTATTTTTTGGTGAAAAAATTAGACTACCAGTCATCAGAAACTTAGTTACAGGTTAAATCGTCCTCTCTTTTATGAGCCTATCTTCATATTGTGGTGATTATGGTTATAAATTTTGTTTCTCTACTTAGAGTTTTTTTTTTTCTTACTCTTGAAGATGTGGTTGGTAATAATAAGTTTTATATAGGCCTCTGACACTTCACTACAGTCCACTCTTATCAAATATAAACTGATCAAGGACTTAGTACATAAGGAAGAAAGAGTCATCATTATTGATTTTCCAGTTTCAAAAAAAGTCCAAATGAAAACTAAAATGTTTGGCACTTGCTCTTAAAATTATGTAGTAACAATGAAAATTTAGAAGAATTTAGAAAATAGTAATTGTCAGTGTTTGTTCCTTTGAGAAGTTGTGTGGTTAAGATTTAGTACATTATTATTAAAATTTCACTCCTTTGAGTTAATGTTTCTTTTGACTATATTGATAGCTGTTCCACGTGTACTGTACTATTCTTATTAAATGAGTTTTAAGTAGATTTCCTTTGAAGTTTTAAGTAGATAAGAATCTTTTTTATCATATTTTAATGCCAAAGAAATTGATATTTATTTATTTTAGCAGAATTATACTGTACATTTTTCTCTAGAATATTTTTACATATGAAAATAACATGCGCTGGAGGCGCCTGGCTGGCTCAGTTGGTAGAACATGTGACTCTTGATCTTCGGGTCATGAATTTGAGCCCCATGTTGGGTGTAGAGATTACTTAAAAATGGAAAAAAAATCTATTAAAAAATAACATGGGCTTTTCTCTATCTTGATGAGTATTTTAATGATAATCAAATATAATTCTTTTCTGAATACTTGAGTATTTATCCACACTTTACAATCACTTTCTTTGATTTTGCTGACCAAGTTTCTTCCAGGGTGTTTATAATGTAGGCAGCAAAGATTTCTTTTGAAATTCATAGTCGATCTACAAGTTAGTAGTGAGCATCAGAGATGTATCCACCACCGTTCTGACTAAATTTTTATTTTCCACAGCCATCTCGTGGTGTGTTTGAAGAAATGAAATATTTGGAACTTATGATTGTTAATGATCACAAAACGGTAAGAATATAAAGAATCAGTGAGTTTTAGACCTGACAGCTTGCCTAAGGAAGAATACATTTCACTTTATACTTAATCATTATTTATTACTTATTAGGGTCAATATATTTAGATGCTTTATTTCTTTGAAATTATTGAATGACTTGATTTATTTCATGATGTTGGGAAACATTGGGTTTTATAGTATTTTCACAACTCTAAACTTTCTTTTTAATTAGTGGCTTTAATGAATGGATTTAACTGTTCATTTGACATCTTTTACATACCTTTCTTTAAAATTCTTATTTTAAATAAATAAATAAATAAATAAATAAATAAAATTCTTATTTTCTACTTTTTTCATCTACGTATTTGGGCACTACTTTCCAATTTTATTCCATCTTTGTTCTGAGAACATTGTTTTTTTCTTCCTAATTATGACTTGTGGCAGATATAATTATGGGAAGTAAAGATGCATAATAAAGGCATATCCAAAGAGACTATACTTGATGATTTATCTTCTTTAAATTTTGGAAAGATGAGTAATATTGTGTTACTTATATTAAAGTAAACTGTGATTTAATTGGTCATCTCAGTAACATTTAAGAGACATGAAAAATAATTATTGCCTCCATTTGCCCTTCTTGAGAATAGAGTAGAAACATTTTCTTTCTTTTTTATTCTCAAAGATTTCATTTATTTATTTGAGAGGGAGAGAGAGTGAGCACGAGTCAGGGAGAGGGACAGAGGGAAAGGGAGAAGCAGGCTCCCTGCAAGCGGGGAGCCTGACACGGGGCTCCATCCCAGGACTCCAGGGATCATGACTGGAGCTGAAGACAGATGCTCTACCAACTCAACCACCCAGGCGCCCTGAGTAGAAAATTTCTTAACCATGTTTTACTTAATCGTGTCTCTTATAGATTGCCTGAAGCCTAGAGCTTTCTAAAAAGTCTTGTCCAGTAGGCTGTTTGCTAGTATAACCAACACTTGGGGTATGCTTAAATGTGTAACACCTAGCTCTCTGGGAAAAAGCCTTGATTTATAATGTTTGCTGATACCTGTGGTGTAGATACTCCCATCGTGGCTGCTTTCAGGTTACTGAAGTGAGGTCACTAAATGAGGAGTTGGGAAAAGTTGCATCCAGTGGACTCCTGTGAACCATTGGGAGTGGTCTCTCGCACCCCATTGCTACACTTTTCAGACTGTATTAGGCTGGTTGTACTTCTTGTTGTGATTATATAATTTAAGAAATTGTATAAACCAAGACAAAGAGTAGTTGTTTTTATGAAAACTGAATTACATTTCTGGAAAGATGAAAATCTTTTAAGAAATACTTGAAAGTCAGATATGGGTGAAAAACTTATAAAAGATTACAACAAAAATTCAGATAGCTTTGCATATATCATTAAGTCCTTGTTTTACTTTAAGGAGACAAAATTAGATTAGTAGATGATAGGATAAGATTAGTAGAATTATTCAGAAAAGGCCTTGAAACCATATATTTAAAAATATGGTGACTTAATTTTTTTACTTATTTTATTTTTATACTTTTATTTGACTCTGTATATTAGCAGACATTTTCTATTAATTGCCAAGTATTAGTTCAGTTATGTTGAGTATTATTCAGTAGGATACCTGCTAATTTTATATGCAGATTTATTTTATTTTCCAGGGGCTTTTAAATATATTGCTTGACATATTGTTAGAAGAAACAGTGGAGAAGTCCTCTCTGGTAGGAAAGAAAACCAAATGTGTAGACAACCATTTTAGATAATGAAGGCTAAACGAGGAGTTTCAGAAGGACACTAATTTGCTTGAAACCCCAAGATAATTTTTTCATCTGAAGTATTTTTGTTGGTTGAGGCATTGAGGTTTTTTTGTAGCTGATTCTCAGTCCTTAGCATCGTGGCATATTGTGAAACTATGGCTTTAAACACTTATGCTTTTTCTCATATCCATTATACAAATACTTTTAAGGTAGTGGAAGGAATAATTATGATACATGCAATGCCTTTAAATTCACAAAGTACATTCACATGGAGCTGGGAATGGATAGAACACTTTTCCAGCCCATGACTTGCATCTCCACGACTCCTATTCCACCATACTCTGGTAGGAATGTACATAATGGTATCAATCAGAGTAGATGTCAGTAACTGTACAAATAGGAAAAGATAATTTTTTAAAAATATTGAATACTTTAAATTTATTTCTTAATCCTTTTAAATGAATAATAAAATAGCACCCTCCCACTTAAAATATCATTTTCGTATAAGGAAATTTTCTGCACATTATACCTTATATTCTGTGATAAAGTTACCTTCTTTATGCTACTGAGTTTGTTAATGGTAAACCTTGGTAATTATATTATTATTATTATTATTATTATTATTATTATTATTATTATTAAAATTGAATGAGAACTAGTTCTTATATGTTCATCTATCTTTGAAACTAGAAAAACAGAACTGTAATTTGCACTGATAAACTTGGATGGAATACATAGTAAGAAATGTAAAAAAAAAGAAAGCTCTATTTTTGAGTAGTAATAATGCCTAATATGGAAAGAAATTACATAAGATGATTTCTACTATTTAAATAAATACTACATCTGGGCTAATAGGACAAAATATTCCTTTTGTTTTGAGACCAGGTTACATTCCAAATAAGTGTGTCATTTTATAAGGATTTTTTTCTTTTGAGAGGCGAGAAAAAAGTTCTTTTAAGGTGTGCTTTATATGAAATTATGAAAATGAAGATTGTTTTTGCATTTGATTGCTACAAAGAAGGAGTAAACCAGAACATGGATCAGAGTACTGAAACTCCCATTTTGAAAGTAAAACTGAACTAGAATAATTAACACCTGTTTTTTTAATACCTTGGAGATTTACTATTGGTTTTAGAATGATCATCCTTGAAATGACTCATCATGCCATCTTTGTGCTAGATGAGGCGGCACAGTTGTTTTGATAACTGTCATCAAGCTCTAATTTTAATTTTTTTTCAAAAGGCAAATTTCTTTAAGGGTTGTAATTGTTCAGGAAGGAAAAATAAATTTGGCACTTTAAATGTAAATTATTTTCAGTGATCACAAAATGTGAAAGTAAGTTTTATCATAAATGGAGATTGCACATTTTTCTTTGTATGAAAAATTATTTCTCATTCATGCAGGAAATAGAAACATTTTGCCTACATTTACATTCAAGCTAATCTCTTTAATTCAGAGTAACCCAATATTGGCTCCCTAAAAAAAGGCAGACACCTTATTTTGAGGAAGCATCATGTTATCAGTGGCTTTCAATTAGGAAAGGAAAATCCCTCAATTTTGTAGACAGCATCTTGGTAGCTGGCTGGTGGAACCTAATTTGTGAGCCAATTATAGCCTTGATAAGGGTCTGCAAACATTTCTTTGAGCCACTTGAACTTGAGCTAAATATAAATATGAAAAGCCTATTCTAATAGAAAATTGGTTGAAATATTTTAAAGTGCATGAAAAAAGTTTTGCTTACATTTTTGCTGTATCCTTACATATTCATCAGAGAGTACAAGTATGTTATAACTCAAATATTCTTCAATTTGAACCCTATTTAAAAACCGCTATACTTTATAAGCAGGGGAACAAACTCTGAGTTCTCATCAAGAATTGTGATTTATTCGGAATATACATAAACTATTTTATAAGAATTGTTAACTGGAAAAGTTTATCTCCTATCTCAACCCAGAGGAGGCCATTGAATTCCAGCTGTGTGACCTTGGATGACTTCTTTTTCCTCTTTGAACCTCACTGTCCACATTCTAGAATGGGGCTAATAAAACCCACCTCACAGACTTGTGAGGAGCAAATATTTGTTGTAAGAGAGACACTTATAGATCCTAGTAAATCCTAGCTGCTCAAGTAAGTGGAACTTCAAGTGAACAAATCTTGTGGGTGTTGCTAGTTGTCCTCTTTTGTGCTTTCTCAGCAGTGGTGGACATGGGTGATTACGCTCCCCTATTTGAAACATTTTCTTCATCTTTTGGCTTCTGTGATGCAACAGCTCTCCTCACTGGCTGTTCCTTCCTAGTTTTGTGCCTCTGATTTCTAGAATTAGGGGAATGCTCATAGCTTGGCTTTGATCTATCTTTTCTTTCTATAGCACTCCCCAACTTGACCACTTCCAGTCTCCATCTTTATTTTTTTTTTCCTCAATCTTTAAATAATACCATGACTTTAAGGACATCTGGGTGGCTCAGTCGGTTAAGCATGTGACTCTTGGTTTCGGCTTGGGTCATGATCTCAGGATTGTGAGATCGAGCCTCACGTTGGGCTCCAAGTTCAGTGGGAAGTCTGCTGGAGATTCTGTTCTCTCTCCCTTGGCCTCTGCCCCTCCCCTCCTCAAAATAAATAAATACAATCTTAAAAAATATATATCATAATTTCAATTTCATCACCCTCTACTTTATGCCTCTAGCCTCCTGAGTCAGTACTTAACATATCCAACTGTCTACTTGCATTCTGGCTTCAATATTGAATAATGTGTAACATTTCTAAATCAGAACTTTTGATTCCCTAAATCCTAAGCTTCTCTTCGCCTAGTCTTTCTTATTATTTTATTTTTTTAAGACTTATTTATTTATTCATGAAAGAGACAGAGAGAGAGGCAAAGACAGAGGCAGAGGGAGAAGCAGGCTCCCTGCAGGGAACCCGATGTGGGACTCGATCCAGATTCCAGAATCATGCCCTGAGCCCAAGGCAGATGCTCAATCGCTGAGCCACCCAGTGTCCCTCTTTCTCATTATTTTAAATGGTACCACTATTCCCCCAGCTGTGCTAGTTCGACCTGGGAGTCACCTTTTATTATTCTCTTTCTTCACCTTCCACATCCTATATATCACCAAGTCCTGGGAACCCTACCTTCGTGGTGTGTCCACTCACTTCTGCAGATGTCCAGCCTTCATTATCTTTTACCTGGATTCTTGCTTCCATGTTTGACCCTCTCTATTCACTTACCCCACACCAGAGGGAGCTTTCTTTAAAGGAAGTAAGAAATGTGGAAATTATGAAATATGAAAAAAGTGAAAAGCATCACGTTTTGATAGACTTCAAAAAAGACCTAATTTTATTAATTTTGTAAACATGTATGTCATGTTTTCCCATAATCATTATACTACAAAAAGAAGCCTCGAAAATGGACAAATTAATGTTCAGAAGCAAAATTAAGTTAATTATAATAGATATATAAGACCACCGCCTTAGAATAGGTATCAGTTAATATTTTTCCTTTCTTTTTATGATGTATGCTTCTTAATGTCGAGACTTTTAACCTTTTCATCACCCCAAAGGGACTTAAGGTTGAGACTTTTGCTTTTACTTTAAAAGATATCTTAGAAATTTTTTAATGTGTGGAATTTGCTGGACAACTTAAAATGCTTATCTATCTACAACAACTTCTTTATGCTAGGTTTGAAAACTCTGTTAAAGTGCCTTAATATTTTTAGATTAATCTGATATTTTTGGGCCAGTTACATGCACCGATTGATGTTTACTATAAAAGAACACAAGAAGACAGTTTAGATCAGATTATGATACATGGTGGCAGCAATAACATCAAGTCTGAGTCCGTTCAGGCTGCTATAACAAAACACTGCAGACGGTGTCTTTTGAGTAATAGAAATTTATTTCTCACCATATAAGGGCTGATAAGCCCAAGATCATGGTGCCAGCATGGTTGTGTTCTGGTGAGGACCTGCTTCTCAATTCATAGCCAGCACCTGGCTGTGCTCCACTTTATCTAGTAGAAGGGGCAAGGGAGCTCTCTGGACTTTCCTTTGAGGCACTAGTCCCATTCATTAGGGCTCCACCTCATGACCAAAGCATTTCCCAAAGGTCCCGCCTCCTAAACGATCATTTTGGGAGTTAAGATTTCAACATAGGAATTTGGGGGGATACAAGCATTCACACTATAGCCAGTGTTATCAGTGTAAATGGTGATAAATTAGTGAATGCTATCAATAACAGTACTAATTTATTGCTCCTTTTTCATGGGTTGTCAGTGCATAAAGCATTACAAAAAATAAATATCAAGTATGTAAACATGAAGACACATTATTTGTTTAAAAAAAACATAGTACCCAGGGTGAAGAGAATGAAATGAAGGGAGCCTGACAAACTTATAATGTGAAAGTGGGCAAAGGAGCGAAAAAAGGAATTTCAGGAGTTTCCAGTGTAGGAACATTTTTAATCTTTATGAAAAATTGTAATTTTAATAATTATGATTAAAAGTAGATTTTGAAGATTTATGGTGCAAATCTGATTTGGTAGTTTTGAGTATGTTTTCCTTTTTCCTCAGTAGATGGTGTGATCCCCCTGTCATAGACTTCAGTTTTCTTTTTTTGTTTGTCTTTTTAAAAGATTTTATTTATTTATTCATGAGAGACGCAGAGAGAGAGGCAGAGGGGGAGAATCAGGCTGAGGGAGACGCTTACCCACTGAGCCACCCAGGTGCCCCTAGACTTCAGTTTTCAAATGTCCTCTCAAAGATACAGTCTGCAGTATTCTTTGTTAAAACTTTAGCCCTCCGGGTGTTGTTATAGAATTGTTCTATTAACTTATTTTTATTTATTTTCTTAAATAATCATAAATAACCATAAACCATCTTAAACTATACATGTACTTCATTTTTCCTTCTTGTCCCTCCTTTGTTCTGACTGGAACAGGTCAAAAGCAAAAGGCTTCATTTGATGGAGGCATTCTTCTGAGGGAATATACTTAGATGTATAAAATATGCATTCTATGTCATAGACAGTATCTACAGCGCTGCCTACGAAATTTTCTTGATCTGTATCTGATCTTGAGTTTCAAGGGAGAAGGGTGTCCAGTTGGTACTACATTTCTTGGCTTAGCCTTTACAAAGGTAAACTGTAAAGGTGGTTTCGGTGAAAACAGAGATTGCCTTTGTAGACATTAAGACTGAATTAACAATTTCTCAGATGTAAAGCTTCTCATACAGATGTCTATAGGTTCTTGCCATACTTGGAGGTGGTACAGGTGTTTTAAATGGAGTTTGGCTTCCTAACAGAAATCAAGTAGAACACCACCATATCCAACATGGCGCAAGTTAAATTGTCTATTTTTAATCCCCATTTGTACTATTGCTGTGAGGTGTCTGCTTTTACTGAATTGTGAAATTTACCAGTAAGTTATGATTTGGTAGTGACTGATTTATCCTTTCCCCCTCCAGTATAAGAAGTATCGCTCTTCTCATGCACACACCAATAACTTTGCAAAGTCCGTGGTCAACCTTGTGGATTCTGTAAGTATCCCAGTTTTCTTGAACCTATTTTTCCAAGACAGAATGTTTATATATTTGTTATTTCCTTGTTACTTTAATTCTTCCTTGGGCAAAAGTAAAAATGCTATACTTAAGATCATCTGGCTAAATAATTATTCTAAGTGATACCTAGACCTCTTTGTCTAGAAGGCCAAAAACACTAGAGAAAATTATCTGCTAAAAAGAGCATCAATTACACTTGGTGAATGAGACTCTGTTAATGATAACCAGTTGAGCCTATTGTCTTAAATATATTGCAAGAGAGCTAATTTATTGAGGTGGAGTAGGTTTGGAGAATATAGGAAATACAAGGCTTTTTTTTTTAAAAAAAACCTCAAATTTATTTTCTTAGTGGTAAATGCTTCAGATTTTATTTCTGGATGACAGAATTAAGTGCAGTCCTCAAAATAAAACTTTTTGAAACAGTAAAATATGTATCTCCTTACAAAGACTTCTAACTCTATAAATCGTTCATATCGGTATTCCCCCCCCCTCATTTTGTAAAGAATAATGGTTAATATTTTCTTCCTTTTTCCTGCTCTAGGTAGAATTCCACAGATGTGAATATTATTTATGTTCCAATACATAGTTCAATTTGGTTAGTTGTAGATTAAATATAACATACTACTTTGTATTCTAATGTAAAGTGCTATTTTGTTCAATTAAATCTATTTTTATCTGATATTTTTGTATGTTCCCTCTTAATTGGGAAATAAAAAACTTTTTATGAATTGCCAACTATCTAAATGATACTTATTTTCTCCAAAGAACTGCCTTCTTTTCTGTCTTTGAAACAGTCCCCCAAACCTTCGATCACTCACAACATATGATAGCTGTAGGCACAGCTGAATAAAGATATAATACAGGTGGATGGACACAGTGTATCATATAGAGTTAGGACTGAAATTCTGAAAGCCAGTTTACACCTGGTTTATTAATCTTCTGTAATTTCAGCTCTTGTCAGCAGTCATCTCAGAGGAAAACTGAAGTGAATATGGAAAAAAGAATATTAAACACACTTTTTTTTGTTGCCAAAGCTGTTGACTTGGTAGCATCTCTGTGTCCGTCATTCCACTATGGCTGAATAGAGCCACATCTTGCAGAGTGGAATTTTTATTTTGGGTGATCTTATAAGGTTCTGAAGCCAACCAACTAATTTTTAAAAGACATCATATTTAACTCGCTTGTTATAAAATCATTATAGCTTCAGATTGACTTAGGGACGATGATATTCCCTTTCTTTGATGTATTCAAAGATCATCCATTATTTTCTGAATTAACTTGAAAATAGGACAAAATGACAGAGGTCTTTAAAATTGCTTAATTGTGTAAAATGTTTAGCTTTTGGAGAGAAAGAGAACAGAAAGATGCAATTGAAATATTGCGAGTGATGCCACCCTGTGGTTAGGGGGAAGTCGGTGATAGGAATGTGCTGTGTTCCTCTTTTAGCCAGCTCTTGATTCCCCCACAGTGTTATTTAACGTGTCCTGTCACAGGGCCTCCAAGGGCAAGCCAGCCATGTTGCTGGTGATTGTCCAAGGATTTAGTGATCCGTTCCAGTCCTGCAGGAATGACTGGTCATACTGCACTTAACTCAGAGCCAGTAGGTCAGGCTCCAAACCTGTTACCTCCTGTGAGGTTTGGAAGAGTGATTTTACTAAATCCTGTTTTGAATTTATGCCCAGACTTTAGAATCTTGACATCCCTACTGTCCATCCCCTAGTGAGATACCTGACCAATAAATGTGCCGCTTTGGGATTGAAATAGTGTAGGAGAGGCTGAGTTGTGTGATTATTCTTTCTTCCTTTCTTTTTGCTCTTGAAAATGAGAAGGGGAAGATGATTCTTTATGATGAGCTAATCGTGACCTCATGTTCTCCTCTCACCTCCCCTCCTGTCCTTCCACTGACTCTGAATCACTGATTGTGCATGTTTGACCCAGTGTTTCCTCCTGCACCTGTCCTGTTGTATACCCTCAGATTTACAAGGAGCAGCTCAATACCAGGGTTGTCCTGGTGGCTGTAGAGACCTGGACTGAGAAGGATCATATCGAGATCACCACCAACCCTGTGCAGATGCTTCATGAATTTTCCAAATACCGACAGCGTATCAAACAACATGCTGATGCTGTGCACCTCATCTCGTATGTACCTGCGGTCTATGTGTTGACATTTATCTTTATCCCCTTAATTATATCTGTTAAGTTACACCTCAGTGTGTTGATCTTGAATTGAGTCCTCTCTCTGGTTATCTCAGTAGCAGGGAGGTAAGTTGTCTGGTGCTGGGATGGTAGTTCCGTGGTAGTAAGATTTACCTTCAGAGCACGTTCTTACTTTCACACTTTCCATCCTCCAGGTCAGCTCATAATTCAAGGTGGCTGCTGGTGCACCAGCCTTTATGATAAGCATCAGGAATACAGGCAGGGAGGAGTGCAAAAGAGCCCTCCTTCCAGCTGAGTGAGCTCCTTTAAAGCAGATATTCTGAAAGCTTGGACATATCCATTTTACCAACAAATCATTTCCTGGCTCTTGGGCACATGCTGCACGTAGCTGCAAGAGAGGCCAGGAAATACAGTCTTTTGAGGCGAACCATTGAATAAAATTGAGATTTTTATCATTAAAGGAAAGGATGACCAAACTTTCTTTCAATATAATCAATGGTTTCCTTCTCTGCTCATGGAAAAGCTGTTTTTAGACAGTTCTCCAAGGTTCTATTCTGGAATCAGACCAACCAGAGTCCTCTTTCCTTGTCTCTCACCTTAGCTCTTTACTTCTTTTTCTCTCAGTCTAATCAGCAATATATACTAATTTATACATTTATAGTTTATAATAATCAACCAGTGCTTAGTAGATGCTCAGTTAATGTTGCTCAACTGAGATTGCTTCACATCACCCAAATTTCAAGATATTTATGACCACATAAATCTAAAGGTGTTTAAAATGTAGTTTTTGATTTCTTGAGGGAGGATGGATTTTGGCGTTCGGTGTAGAAGAGTGAGTAAACCTGTCTTGGGAGAGTTCATGTGATGGTCACTACATTGGTTTTGTGATAGCACTTCCTTTTCTTTAGGCGTGTGACATTCCACTATAAGAGAAGCAGTCTGAGTTACTTTGGAGGTGTCTGTTCTCGCACAAGGGGAGTTGGTGTGAATGAGGTAAATTTGATCAGTTTTCTTAAAGTAGAGCTTTATCTTTGCATCTGACCTCTTTCTTCCCTGTGGCCTAGTTTATATCTTTCTCAGGTTTGTTTAAAATGACAGTGACATCGAGGATAAGGTATGAGTGATTTATATTAGTAAATAGAAACCAAAGTGGCTTTTGGTGTTCAAAAAGAGGTATTGCTTCATTTCATAATGATAGTTTTTCATGTTTATCAGGTAAATGCATGCCAAAGAGTGGTCCAGAGATTTTTTCACCTCTATAGATAAATTTTTATGAACTTATTATTCCTTTCCCGATAATTTTAATCTATAATGCTCTCCCATGCATGTTAGATTTAACTCATTTAAATCAAAGAGTTTAGGATTATATTTAATCAGTATCTTTGTTTTCTATCTGTGTACGTTTTTTATCTTTATGCCTTCTACCTATCTCTCTGTAGAATTCATTGGAACAAATATTTCCTTAGTCTCATTGTTTGGATTCCAGTACCTTCCTTTATATCAAGGAAATCCTTACACCAGTTGGCAACAGCATCCAAAAAGCTGAACCAACTATCTCTAAACCCTGATTAATGCCAGAATGTATTATAAGGTTATCCCCATAGTCATCATTCAGTCAAGACCTCTCTTGGCATATTTGTAGTAAGTTGAATTTATTCTTGGTTTGGTGTGAGTTGAATCAGGGCATAGCCTTTTATGGCTTGTGTTTTATGTTTCCATGTGAGAGCATCAAGTTCTGAGAGATGCCACATAGTAAGAGAGGCTTTCTGCTTTTTGGGCCCAGCTATAAGAAAGAAGCGATAAGGAGCATATGCCATCTTTTGATGCTGTGAGGCTCTACTTAGGGAACTGAGATGATATGTAATGTTGATCAAGAAATAATAACTAGCTTTGTGCACTCTCTCAAATGTCTCCCACACACTTTCAACTCTGAAAAACAGTATGGTCTTCCAATGGCAGTGGCACAAGTATTATCGCAGAGCCTGGCTCAAAACCTTGGAATCCAATGGGAACCTTCTAGCCGAAAGCCGAGTATGTACATTGACCTTCTTATTCACTCTCATGTGCCATTCTGTCTGTATACTGCATGTCCAGTCAATAAATAAATTTTTTTTCATTCCTAACTCATTATAGTTTAATTGTAATATACCTTTTTCCTCTTAAAAGATTATCAAGTGAGCAATTTAAGGTAATTCTTAATCTGTTTGGGTAGTAGATATTTCCCCTTAAAAATTCATAAAATCATACTCATTTTCTCAGAGCAGGAGCAGCTCTTTCTCACATTGCAGAGTGTTGAGATTTGGCAGGGGATGAATACTCACCCTCTGGATTCTAAGCAGTGGAATGTAGACACTAGGTGCCAATAAAGTTCCGTTGTGGAGTTAGTAATAGTATAGCTGAATCAGGAAATAGCTTAGGTCTAGTGTCAAAAGGAGCTCCAACTCTAATTAAACTTCCCCACCTACCTACCTCTAACTGAACTCACCCACGTGGTCCAATCAGAAAGGTTCAAGAACAAGCTTCCCTCCAGGCGGCCCTTCCCTAGGGCCCTTTAAGCCTGGAAGCAGGTGGTAGAGGATAGCCCTCTAGTGGGCAGGCAGTGCCAGGAGGGAGTCCAAACAGGGCCTCAGATCCCATCCAGTGGAAAAATGCATCCAGTGACCACTGGTGTCACTCTCTTCATTAATCAGAGGAGAGGAAGATGGAAAGATAGGGCTGAGCTTCCAGTGGCAAAGTATCCAAGGCCCACAATGGTTTTAGGAGTCCATGAAAAATTTCAATTTCTTTAAAAATCAGAGTAAAATCCAACTTAGATTATATTCCTCTTTAGACTAACAAACTAGTAAAATACAATTTTGAATACTTTTTTTTTTTTTTTTTTTTTGTGGTGGCATGAGGCAAAAGTTCCTAGGACCCACGAAAAGTCATACGATCTTGTGGAAAGGAAGACTGTGGTATTCCTTCAAATTATTCTCTTAAGTGAAAGTCTGCTCCCCTATGTGAAAATATCAGATGCCAAAAGTAAAGGTCTCCCTGCCCACCTCAGCAACCCAAGGAAGAAAAGGACAAAATTCTTCTGTAACTTTATCCTACGTTTTATGCCTTTTTGACTACTATCAAATAATTGTCATTAATGCATAGTGTTATGGAAACTTGAAACAAAATACGTATCCAGGGTCTTCTCGATTCTCTTTATGGGCATATTAATTCATCACTTTATGGGTATATGAAGTCTGGTGGCATTTAGCAAATATCCACAAACTTTCGTTTATTAATATCTTGCTCAGGGTATTTGCTTTCCCAAGGAAACACATAATACACTTTGAAGGAGGTATTTTGGGTTTCAGCAGCTGGGAGAGATGGCTTGAAAATCAGAGGAGAGTAGGGCCAGATTTCTGACCTTGTTTGAGAACCCTGGGGCCAGGGAGAGGCCAGTGCTGGGGTCCGCTGAGGGATGTTACCGAATTGGGTGAGGGGTGGGGTGAGAAGTAGAGGTTCAGGCCCAATGCCTGGAGTAGTTCCTTCCTAAAATGTTTTAGTCCTTTATGAATTGTTTGTTTAGGTAGATAGTTCATTAGTTCTGAACTTTGACTTTGAAAAAATCCATTCAGCAGTCCCTCTTTTAAAAATCTTTGTCTATGATAGGAAAGAGAATAGGAAAAAATAAATGGAAAGCATAGCCCATCACAACATCAATATGTCAGTCTCTGGCATCTATGTTGAGTTTGTGATTGTTGTTTAGTTTAAATGACTATTTGTGCTTTTATTTTAGAATGCTCTCTTTTCCTAAAACTTTTAGCGGAGGGTCCTTCACATCTCTGGCTGAACCTCACTGGGATTCTAGCAAATGGGATTCTCTCCTGTAACCTCCAGGGTGCTCTGTTGGGGAAGTTTCACTGGTGACTCATTACATCTGTGCAATAGAGCTTTTCAGCTCACTGAGCGCACACCTGAGCTTATCTTATGTGAACCCCCGGAACCACTCTGAGAGATAGGCACAGAGGCTGTTCCCCATTTTCCAGGTGGGAATACGGGAGACCCAAGAAATACTAAGTCACTTGCCTGCAGGACTCTCACTGGGTAGAACTTGTACTAGAACTCAGGCTTTTTGTTTCTCGACCAGGCTACTTTCCATTACACATTGGAAATAGGAACTTTATTGAGTTTTCTGAGTCACAAATATGAAGGGAGGGATAGTTTTATTTCTTGTCAGCTGTTGTCTTAGGAAATAACCTATACTTCTGGAAAAGATATAAAGAAAATTTGATTTAATGGAAATAGTTTTTGTTTGGTGGGATTTTACATTCTGTATCTACAAGACACAGAATTGGTAAATAAGGAATTATCTCCAGAGTTGCAATGCAAATGAAAGATGTGACTTTTGTTGTTTCTCTTTTCTTCTGTTGCTTTTTATTATTTCATTGGTCTAGAGTGTGACTGCACAGAATCCTGGGGTGGCTGCATCATGGAGGAAACAGGGTAAATTTTCATTTTACCTGCATTTGATATAGGCCTTTCACTGACATTGCTGCATATAATTAGATGCAGAGTCTCTCAGGGTCTTGTAGGCTCAGCACTCAGTATAAATTCAGTCATTAAATATCTGATATTTTAAAAATGAAAGGACTAATTCACCTTATATTTTCATTTTTTAGTTAAAGTTGTTGATAAGAGTAAAATATAATAACAACTTCTACTTCTGTTAACCTTTAAAGAAAGCACATTATTAAATGCTTCTAAGTTTAGTAGATGCATTAATTTTTTAGTGCACTTAGAATAAGAGCCAGTTGTCTGCCTGAAGCAGTACGTGAAAATCAATTTAGTCGTCAATTTATATTTTAAAGAAGTCACAAATAGACCTGTTTGCTGTAAGAAAAATTGTACCGTACTGTTTATATAATCAATACAGCATTTTTTTAAAGACAGATTTATTGTGTCTAAATTAGGTATCTTCTATTGATAGACATTTGAACATTTCTCACCTATCTCCTCTCTTCTTATGAGGATGCTTTGAGAACAGAGCCACTGCCCTGGAGCTGCTGTTGCATCTGTGAGCCAAGGCCTGGAAACATTGCCCCTGGCCCCTGCCCCCATGGGAGCCATTCACCGAAGGGTCCCTAAGCTAGAGCCCACTCCTACTAGATGGAAGAGGTTTTCCCACCCATGTGTCTCTCCTGCTTCCTGTGCCTATGCCAGATATCTGTTCAACACATAGCCCATTTCTGGTCCTCCCCCTATTCTGAGGAGCCCCAGAAGCCAGAAGCTCTGACCTACTAGTATAGAGTCCCTTCCTTACTCCTCTACCAGGAGTCCTGCTCATGGGGAAAAGGGGAGCGTGAGCGTGAGGGTTTGCAGAGACACTCAACCATTCTGCTGGCTGCTTTAAAACATATGTTTCTAGAAATGTGGTTTAAACATGAAACTGTTAGTGTGCATGCTCCCCTTGTTTTTGTACCATAATTTACTAACATTATGGCTTAAACAACATTTTTGAGAACTACAATATAGTAAGAAGGTAACACCATTTATAGTATTGCTTCTCTAGGGAGGCACCTTCTGTCTTCTAAACTCCCAGTTTTTAAATGAATTTTTGGACTGACTGCCCAGAGGATATAATAAAACTATTTAAAGTTTACATATATTTTCTCGAGTATGCATTTCCACATAGTTCCTTTAGGAGATTACTGTCAACAATGGCAAAAACTTTTCCTACTTCCATATACTACCCTCATGCATCAGGATACAAAAAACTTTTAGATTACATCCTAGAATAAGTGGCCTGTCACTCTCAAATCAAGTACTATGATAAACACACCCAAGAAATCAGTGTGTATGATTCAGTTTAACCTCGACCATGTGTATAACATCTCCCTATGTACTGACATAGAGACAGTTTGATTAATTGAATCGCAAACAGGCTCATACTATATTCCTAAGTCATGAGTATGTTTGAAGTTGAGCATAAAAATTAGAATTACCTAATTCTAATCAGAAGGAGCTTAAGCCTAATTCTGTTTTTACCGTGTGTATATGGGCAAAAAACAGATATCCACATATTCGTATACATATTTGTGTCTGTGTATAAAAACAGTATAATACTTCTCTTTAGATTTCCTTGTTTGCCTCAGTGGTGTTGCTGATGCCTGCATTATATAATCTTTAATAGATTGTCACAATTCCTTCCTCTAAGTAGAATCTAGTAGGTTCCCATGCATCTTTTATTCAGGACAGAGGCCAAAAAGTGCTTGCCTTTACTGAGACTGAGCAAATAAAAATGACCACATTTTAAAATGTAGCCTAGGTGAAGAAGTTTTGTGATAAGCTCTCCAAAATGCTTCCAAGCCCAGGCACAGAAGGGCGTGGCTGCTGAGGAGGTGATAACCTGGCTCCCAATCTGTGGTTTTCTTAGACTATTTTTATAAGTTCTACCACACATACTTATTTGGCAATTTGAACATAAATGCCTTGTCAAAATTTGTGTGGAATCATCTAGATCCAGAGTGAACATTTTGTTCTAATTCAAGGGTTTTAATTTTCTTCTCTGATGACTGCTTTTGGTAAATTATTTACATAATTGATTCTTTATTTTCTCAGGGTGTCCCATTCCCGAAAGTTCTCAAAGTGCAGCATTTTGGAATATAGAGACTTTTTACAAAGAGGGGGTGGAGCCTGTCTTTTCAACAGGCCGACAAAGGTTAGTAACTCAGAAAGTGTAATTATTTCTCTGGTTCTTCTTCTTCCTTTTTTTTTTTCTTGCTTTTGAGAAATGTGTTTGATGTACATAACATTTATGAAAGCAACAACCTTCGTGATCATATCCACCTCTGATCTGCTCAGGATCTAGTCACAAATCTATTATGGGAAAAGACTTAAAAGTCATTCTTGCATTTATCTTTGTGAAATGTTGAAAAGTAGCTCTGTGCCTTAATAAAATCAGTTGCAAAAAGGCATATTTATTTACAATAAAACACTGCCAAATGTCAGATACTTATCTTAGAAAATAGGTTTTTCTTTGGTGGGGGGTTGTCAGTCAGATTAATATTTATTATAAAAGCCATTATCATGTTGAAATCTGGTCCTGCTTAAATGAATGATAAAATCATGGTTTTGCTACTGTGAATCTGATTTTTCAGTGCTAGCTGTACCCCGCCCACTTTGTCCTCTAAACAAAGAAACAAATGCCCTTCAATTAAAATATCTTTGAAATTTACACGTTAGGATTTTCATCCTGCTGCTTAGAGATTGTGAGTTAGATTAAGGGATATTGCTTCAACCCATTTCTCTGACAAAAATTCCATATTCCACTGACATCTCTTTAAGGGTATAACTAATTCCCAGGCTTTTTTTTTTTTTTAAGATTTTATTTATTTATGCATGAGTGACACACACACACACAGAGAGAGAGAGGCAGAGACACAGGCAGAGGGAGAAGCAGGCTCCATGCAGGGAGCCTGATGCAGGACTCGATCCCGGGACTCCAGGATCACGCCCTGGGCTGAAGGCAGGCGCTAAACCTTTGAGCCACCCAGGGATCCCCAATTCCCTGGCTTTTTAAAAAGAAATTTTGAGTGGTCTATTCCCCTAGACAGGAACTATTATGAATATCAGCTAGCCAAAAAATAGCCCAAGTTATTTATGGATCTCATAAATACATATGTGTATTTATTATTTGTTATATAGTCTCTTTGTGTGGGAAGGTCCATGATGTCAACTGGCATTTCATCAGAATTCATATATACAGCGTCACAACCCTTATCCATCATTCCTTAATTCAAAAAGGTCTGAAAATTGAAAGTGTTTTTTATGAGTTTGCAGAAAACACGTCAGGCAGTAAACTTCTCCTGGACTGAAAACTTTTATTATCCTTCATAGTGTAAATATTCATAAGTATTACTGCAGAAATATAAATGTTTTTTATTAGAGGGTGTGCACCAGGCCCCTCAGGGCTATTACATAGAACGTGGTAAATGCATCATACTTTTCTAAAATCTAGCAAAGCCAGAATTTTCAAATTCACTGGCCACAAAGCTTTTGCATAAGGGACTGTGGACCTCTAGTAGCGTGTTTGGAAATGAATCACTCAACAGGCAAAAAGACAGGATTGCTGCTCATTAGCAGATGGTATAGAGATTCTAACATTACACATTTCATATTTCTTTTGAAAATACTACTTCATAAATCAAATATAGTCCATTTGCTATACAAAATGTTTAATGCTCTATGAATTGAAAGAACAGTGAAATCATACTAACTTAAAAAAAATCAGTGACTAGTGTGGATAACTAACAGAATAATTTACTCCTCTCCTCATCATTAAGTGATACTCCTGTAGTCAAGGGACTGTAGTTTGATGCCTGACATCTCTATAAAATCTCAATGAGTCTGCAGAAAAAGAAACAGGAATTTTAAGGTGACCTTGCACCATTAAATTCAACCGCCTGCCTTTCATGGCATTGATCTCAGTGCAACAGAAATCTGAAAACTTCAAAGTGTTCAAAATGGGAGAGATGAGTAGTAATGAATCAATGTGAACTGCTGGCATTTATGAATTAAAGTGTACGTGATTGATTTTTACCTGCCTTGCGTCTCACCAGTCAATTATAATATAGCATCTTGCCTGAGAGCACAGCACTCAGTCCTCAGGTTTCTAGTGTGTGTGGAAGAGTGCATCATTAGATTTCTGCAATTGCCTGTGAGTAGAAAGAAAATTATTCCAGTAGCTCAGAAACCAAATAAAAATAGCCGTATGTCTTCAGTTTTAAAAGTTAGTAAATACGGATTTATTTTTTTCAGCTACATGGTAGAATGATTTTTTTTTAAAGGAAGCCCCCGTGGATTCCAGTGGAATAGTTTATATGTATGTATCAAAGAACTGACCTTTTCCAAGTGCTTTTTTAGTCAATGAATGTATGCATGCACGGTTTACATGTTTTTTTCACATTACTTGCCTGCCTTGTCTCTGTGCTGTGGGACTCTCCCCACCTGCTGTGTTTTCCACCTGGTTTGTGATAGAGGCCTGCCGCAGGATGGAAGGAGGGTCCTAAGAATGAGATCTAGCATTTGGCTCCATGTGAGGCCTAATAGGAAGTGCTAGCCATGGTCCAGTCTGAACTTGCCATTTCCATTTCCTCCTGACTGCTGATGAAATACCACAGAGATGAGGACTGTTGATGTTACTCGTGGGACTTTCCTATGGAGGAATGAAAAACTTTCTTGCTTTGAGTAAGAGTTTTCCCTTCCTCAATGTGGAGGGAGAATCAGGTCTTCCTCAGATGGGCTTGGAAGGCAACCCTTCCCTTGGGGTGTGTATGCTGGAGGAGGAGTCTCTTTTGCCCTCTCATACTCCTGGCTTTGAGCGTTTTGTTTGGAATGTGCTGTTCCAGTCTTCATCCAAGTGTGATAGACACACACAGGGAGATCTTGCTCCAGCTGACAGAATATGGGAATGTTTCTCATGAACACTCACTGCCTCCACAATTGTTTGCAGTATAGTTTGTCTGGCAAACTATAGCACTAGTCAAGTGGATTATTCTAGAAATTTGACTCTTCCATTGCTCCAGGAATGATCAAGAGATTTCTATACATCGGTGCATATGTTTGCACAATTATTTATTTATTTTTTAAAGGTTTTATTTATTCATGAGACACACAGAGAGAAGGAGGCAGAGACATAGACAGAGGGAGAAGCAGGCTATCTGCAGGGAGCCTGATGCAGGACTCGATCCCACGACCCCGGGATCACGACCTGAGCCAAAGGCAGATGCTCAACCACTGAGCCGCCCAGGTGCCCCGTCTGCACATTTATTTAATATGCTTTAGACAGTGCAGATTTCCTTTCAATGAGAGTGATGGGCATGGATTCCCAGCAGCACCTTTTCTAAGCTTATTTGCATTTTCTTGATTATATATATTACATTCAGCTCTGACCGAAACATTTTTATCTTTTTGACAATTTTTATGTTTTCTCAGCTACCTTGAGATAAGTCAGTAAATTAGATATACGTTAGTCTTAGCAATTGCATCTTTGCCCCATTAGCAAGTATGATAAATGATCTATTCGTTTTGACAGCTAATTTCCATTAATAAGTAATTCTAATGGTAGAGGTCATCTCTGGAGCCCACCTCCAGAGAATCCTCCAAGAAATATTACCCCATTTGGAATACGTTTTTAGAAGTGTTATTAATAAGTGAACAGTGCTACCCACACAGATATCATCTGTAAGATGCCATCACAGCAAATCACAGAAGAATATCACATGATAGCTGATTATAGGGCCATGTATGTGGCCTGATTGGTGTGTTGGTTTTCTGTGATAAATTAAAATGTTTTTCCTTTGTCTTCCTAACCTCTTTCAGCTATTTGAACCCACAGAATGTGGAAATGGATATGTGGAGGCTGGGGAGGAATGTGACTGTGGTTTATTACATGTGGTAAGTATAAGAGATCTTTCCTACCTTCAAACCAGCTCCTCCCCAGAGCAAACAAGAATAGTGAGAAGCCTACACTGTCCTTCCCTTGGTCTTACTGCTTTTCTTTCTCATCTCTCTCATCAATGTCTAATCCCAGCTCAGACATGTTAGAGATAATCAAGTTCTTATGGCCCTGTTTGAAAAAATACCTAATGGGTTCTTCTAATCAAATCTTCTATCTCTTAAAAATCCATAGCTCATATCCATCCCATTCAGATTATACCAAATCACGAAATATTCTTTCCATGGTGTGTTTATTTTTGTCTTTATAAAACTAGATAGAGTCTTGGGGCACCTGCCTGGCTCAGTTGGTAGAGCATGCAACTCTTGATCTCAGGATTGTGAGTTCGAGCCCCATGTTGGATGTAGAGATTACTTAAAAATAAAATATTTTTTAAAAACCCCAAATGAGATAGAGTCTTAAGAAAGAGCTAACGGAAGGTGATGTACCTGCTAAGAAATAAGCTCACTTTTTGGGAGAGAAGCCCTTTCACAGAAGATCATACTTTGCTGAAAAATATGGCAGGAAGGAATTTTATCATTGTTTAAAGTGACTACTTCCTGAAATGCTTGCTAGTTATTGTGCAAGTCTCCTCTTGTGGATTATACATAAGTCACATGTAGAGAGAGGGTTGAATGACCAGCCTCACTTACTCACGTGGAATGTCTCCCCTAGGAATGCTATGGATTATGCTGTAAGAAGTGCTCTCTGTCCAACGGGGCCCACTGCAGCGACGGGCCCTGCTGTAACAGTACCTCATGTCTCGTGAGTCACCCGACACTTCTGTGTTTCCTTTTCGTGGACGTATTAGCTAAATATCTCACGGTGTACATAGAAGAGTTGTAGATCTGGCCACACATTTGTTGATTGATGTGTCCCTCGCAGTTTTGTAGAATCCATAATGCTACCTAAATTCTGTAGGTCAAAACATTTACCTTTACTATGGTTCACTGTCAACTATCCTGTCCTTCCAACCTTGAGAGTTGCCCTGCTAATGAAGATGAAAACCACATTAGATGGTTGAAAGGATGGTTGAATAGAAGAGGGACAATTCCTGGGGTCTTTTTAAATAATATGGCCTACTTATAACATTTTTCTTTACATTTATTACAATGTATATGTACATTTATTTTGGACCTAATTTATTTTTGGACCATGAACATAAAACCTAGTGCTCACATTTTTATGTGTGGTTTTTAAAAAAATCTCCTGTAAAGGCAAGAAAGCAAGATAAGGAAATAATATTCATCTATTTGCTTATATGTGTATATATAGAGCTAATGCATGTGGACACAGTTAACTTCCATCTGTAGAACCTCCAGTCAATTTTTGAAAAGCCATTTTTAAAATATTCCTTTTTCTCATTTGTTGACCCTCTAATATTGCTTCTAACTATAAAGTAAAATGATTTTATTATCTTATTCAATGCCAAGAGGTTTTATGGTATTTTAAGAAATTCTAGCTTGGTTGCCTTATGTTCCCCACCAGATTATAAGTTGCTTGACATCATTGGTCTCTTTCATTCATCTTTTACCCACCCCTTCAATATGATTGGTGTCACTGAAAGGAGTTCATATGAATTCACTGCACTTTGATTGTGTATATTTAGCCAAAGCAAGATTAACATTAAGATTAACATGAACAAGCTAACAGATACAATTAGTGAAGCTTGGGTGTGTATATCAATCTTCAGAGAGATCTTAAATGTTCATATTTTAGTGATTTGCTCTTTTGTTTTAAACCATAATACTGTATCTTCTTTACATAATTGCTGTTACCTTGTTTTCCAGAAGTAATACTCTGAGACCATGGGTTTTAAAATCTGAACATTTAATGCCTTGCTTAATGATGCATATTTACTACACAGAGTGGTTATCTGGGCCTTGTCTCTATTCTGCAGCTAACTTGCTAATTCATAACAAGAGTTTGGTGATGGTTATGAGAAAGTATCCAAATTATTGGTGAATATAACAATGCTAACTATTGGAAATATTAATTAACACAAGTTCTTAATATTGAATTTTGATTTGCAGTTTCAGCCACGAGGATATGAATGTCGGGATGCTGTGAATGGGTGTGATATTACTGAATATTGTACTGGAGACTCTGGCCAGGTATGACAAACCAAGTTTTTAAAAAATACGTTTGACTTGCAAATATTGTACACATTGGAAAGCGTTCAGTTGGGCTACATATGGAAATATGATTTGGTTTCTTTGTTTTTTTGTTTCACTTCACTTTGTTTTCTAGTAATTTCTGGATCTCCACCGTGCCTTGATTTTAGGAACATTTGTTGTGTTTTCTGGACCTAAATCTCTTTCTTCTTTCAAATTTCTCCTTCATAATTAGTTCCCATTATATGGTTTCTACCCAACGAATTTATGTTCCTTTCAGTCCCCACATCTAAAATTGTATGTTCACACTGATGAAGAATTAATGTACTATTTTCAAACATTTTTAAGCCACAGGGCACTTTCTTTTAAGAAAAAATTTGTTAGATGCCTACTGTAGAAAGTAGAGAACAAGTAGCGCTGCTCTGATTGAAGAGGGAGCGGGAGCAGGTGTCCCCCTCTCAGTTCTGGTCTCCAACTGTTTCCCATTTACATTTTCCTGGCATCATGGCCCATATGGTTTGGCGTGGTCTTCTTCACATTAAAAATTATTATAACATTATAATTAATGTTGCCTACTAGCATTCCTTCTTTGTACAATTTTTTATGTTTAAAAAATTTATATCACATTATTTTAAGTCTTTATTTTTCATTCAAATGAACATTCATTGAGCACCTGCTGTGTGTCAGCACTAAAAAAAACAAACAAGTTTTGTCTTAAACCATACTACTGTATATTCTTTACATAACTGCCATTGCCTTGTTTTCCAAAAGTAATACTCTGAGACTGTGGGTCTTAAAATCTGAACAATTTAATACCTTGGTTAATGATTCATATTTACTACAGAGAGTGGTATCTGGGCCTTGTCTCTATTCTGCAACCATCTTGCTAATAAAAAGAGTTTGGTAAATGTTGGGATATAGTAGGGAATAGGATAGGCAAGTTCTTGCACTTATGGAACTTACATTCTGCTGGGTGGAGAAATAAGTGAACAAAAATATCCAATAGTGGTATGTGCTAAGGTAAAATAAGGTGAGATGTGAGGTGGGTGGCTTTAGGTGGGGTGGTCAGGTGTATTTTCCTGAAGAAGCTGGCATTTAAGTAGAAGGGTAAATAAGGAGGAGCTAGTCAGGAAACAGCTAGTAAGGAAGCTTGGCTTCTTTAAGAAATGGAATGAAAGCAGGGATTACCAGAGAGTAGTAGAAAAAAATCAAGAGTAAATCAGGTATTAGGGCAATTAGGGAATAGGTAAGGATTTTGGATTTTATTCTACTTTTATTTTTGCACTGACATTACTTCAAGACATTGTTCAAAAACATTTTCCTGTATTATTATACAGTCTTTATAAATACCCTTTTTACAATTGCATGAGAGTCTATCATATGGATTTATGAGTTGACTTGTGACTTCTTATCCAGTGGTGGATATTTAGGTTGTTGACAGTTTTTCATTATTGTAATTAGTATGGCAGTGAACACCTGTATGGATCTTTAAGAATGTTTCTTATTCAGGATTCACTCCTTAGGATAAATTGCCCAGAAATGGATTTATCTACTGCCGGATATTATGGTTTCCACGGGGCTCCCAATAAATAGAGTACAGTGGGAGGTCAAAATACCATTTTTTTTAAATACCATTTTTCATATTGAAAATGGCCACATTGAAAACCGTAACTTCGTATGAGAGCTAAATGAGCCTCTTAATAGATCCCAGATTCAGGCTGTAGGAACAGGTTATTGACAAAAGTGGGTCTGGAGTGACTTCTTGCAAAAATGGGCCATTGTCTTGTGTGTCTTGGAGGAGCAGTGACGATAGTCTAATGCACATGAGTAGGCAGGAAAAGAGTGGCAACAGCAGCCAAAGGGCCAGTATTTCTTCCCGAGTTTGTCAATCAATCAGTCACTCTACTTGCCCTCAGGGGGAAGCGAGTATAGGAGCAGAGTAGCTGGAGTAGCACTCTGTGCTCTTCACTGGAAAAAAGCAAAACAAAACAAGAAGAGAGGGACACAAAAGTGTCTAACTAACCTTTTTGAAAGTTCTTGATGTATATTATCTGAGATTCAATTCAGAGGGACCTTTCTAAGGATGTGATGCAGAGAAATAGTGTTCAGGCTATTCTTTATTGATTTTTATGCATATCTGTTTCTTCTATTTAGATATGTAAATTGGTTTCTTTGCAATTTTCCTAGAATATAGTGAAAGGGTGTAAGAATTGTGGGTTCTATGTTTTGTGCCAAGTTTTATGTTTTGTGACAATCCTGACATACTGTTTCCATGAGTTATATTTTTAGTTCTGTAGAATACTACTATTCTTACACCCATCATATATAGTTTGGGTTCTATGTGTTCAGCTCTTTTCAAAGTACAGTTTTTTCACTTTTCAGCCTTTAATTCTGTTTTTTTTTTGTTTTTATAAATTTATTTTTTATTGGTGTTCAATTTGCCAACATATAGAATAGCACCCAGTGCTCATCCCATCAAGTGCCCCCCTCAGTGCCCGTCACCCAGTCACCCCCCACCCCGCCCACCTCCCCTTCTACCACCCCTAGTTCATTTCCCAGAGTTAGGAGTCGTTCATGTTCTGTCTCCCATTCTGATATTTCCCACTCATTTTTTCTCCTTTCCCCTTTATTCCCTTTCACTATTTTTTATATTCCCCAAATGAATGAGACCATATAGTGTTTGTCCTTCTCCAATTGACTTATTTCACTCAGCATAATACCCTCCAGTTCCATCCACGTTGGAGCAAATGGTGGGTATTTGTCGTTTTTAATGTCAGCCTTTAATTCCTGAATTGCCATAGAATTACTGGAAGTAAGGCTTTTATAATGAGGGCTCTATGTTCAACTTAATATTCTATTGTCTAAATTTTTTAAATGTTCTTTTTTTAAAGAGAGAGAGAGAGCGAGAGCAAGCAGGGGGAGAGAGAGAGAGACAAACAGACTTCACACTGAGTCTGAGCCCGATGTGAGGCTCAGTTTTGGGACCCCAAGATCATGACCTGAGCCAAAATTGAGAGTTAGAGGCTTAACTGACTGAGCCACTCAGACACCCTAAAACATTCCTTTTGCTTTATGTATGTAAGGTGAAAATTATACTGTTAAATTAATTTCTCAGTAGAGAATTAGAATATTAGAATAGCATGTTCTTTTAGCGATAATTTCCTTATATGACCAGAATCCTCCTGACATAGATAATGGGAGTAGAGGGAATTAAGATCCCCCAGAATTCTTCTGTTTTGTAACAGGCATTGAGCTTTGAATTTAATGGATACTGCTTATGATTAGGATCTCTGAGAACCTCTGCATCTCTGAGAATCAGTGTCATTGGCAATATTCTGACTTTGTCTTGTTCCTCATGTCTTTGCTAAATTTTGAGATTATCATTTACTGATGCCTCTGAGCTACTTTGTAAATTCAGTTTCTCACAGAATAAACAATACTTGTGCAACTGAGAGAAATCCTTGGCAAACAATACTGGATGATATAATAAAAGTATTTTTGAAAGATGTGGGAAATGTTTCTTGTTAGCACTAAAATATATGTCATCTATATGGGTGATATAACACAATTTAAAATAAGCACATTTAAATGCTACTGCACTGTTGAAGTCCTGCCTCGTGTGAACCTTCCTGCACAGCATGAAAGTGGGGGCTGGAATGGTATTTAGAGAGAGACTGAATCCAGAGCTCTAGTCACATGTAGAATAAAGTCCGCAGATTTATGGTCCTTTTGTTTTCAGGGTCCCCAGACGATGTAAGACATTCCATAATTTCCCATGTTAAACATTTCAGTGATCAGCAATTTGCTTTCATTAGCCTAAAAACTAAAAATAAATTGATTAGAAATCTTGCATGTAGCTGTAACAGTTTACAATAGGGGCTTTTTTTTTAATTATTGAAGAGCTCTACAAAATTTTTTTAATTGAAACATCACAAAAGTCAACTATCATATAATTTTAGACCCTGATAGACCCATTCTAGTAGCAACATTTCTTTTGCATTTTTGTCTGGTGTGATTGTATTCGTCTTGGAGTAAGTGAATAATTAATGTTAGTTGATTAATAAGATAATGACTGCATTTTCAGTGGATTTGGATAGATGAAAGAGTCCACTTGGATCTCTGTTTCTGTGCCTTTGGCCCACTGTGGCAGGTTTTAAAAAGGAGCTGATAATTATGTCCTTTAAGTAGTCACCATCAGATTGATTGAAAAGCTGTGGTGAATGAAAGCTTATATGAAAGTCAGTTATTCTTTAGAAAGATGTAAGACGAAAGCATTTTATCTAAAAGTGTTCCTTTGTAAGTTAGTGCTTCTTATTCTTTAGAAAGATGTAAGACGAAAGCATTTTATCTAAAAGTGTTCCTTTGTAAGTTAGTGCTTCTTAGCAATTGCAAATTCTAAATTAGTTCTATTACCTTTCTGTAGTGAACTTGATAAACAGCTTGATATGTGCAGAGTAACTTTTTTTTAAAAGATTTTATTTATTTATTTATTTATTTATTTATTTATTTATTTGAGAGAAAGCACAGAGGGAGAGGGAAAAGGAGACTGACCTCGATCCCAGGACCCTGAGATCACGACCTGAGCCAAAGGCAGATGCTTAACCAACGGAGCCCCTCCACCCAGGCACCCAGAACAGAGTAACTTAATTGTGTCTGAATGGGTCATTCATTTTTTTCATCCAGTTGGCTGATAGTAGCTGAGCACCTACTCAATAATAATGGAGCCCAGTTTTGTTCTTGATGCTAGGGAGGCAGCAAGGAACAGCACATTCTGTCCTGCCTGCATGGAGCTCACATTGAGGTGGGGGCAATACACAAATAAGTAACATAGATGAGTATGAGATGATAAATCTTATGGAGAAGAAAAAACCAGGAAATAGAGAATGCCAACATGGGAAGGATTACAGTTTTTGAAAGCAAACCATGCAGAAATCTGGCGGGGGGGGTGGGGAGGGAGATTGAAGGAAGAGCAAAGGCAAGAGGCTGTGGCATAGAAAGAAGCAAGCCTGGCACGTTCACAGAGCATCAGATCAGTGATGGCAGAGTAGCAAAGAGACCAGAGAGAGGATGGAGATGGGGGGATGGCAAAGTGCATATAACGTTGAACTTTGAAGTCCCTCAAGTATGTTGGGAAGTCATCAGGCAGAGGAGCAACATGATGTGGTTTATGATTTTAAAAGGACGCTCCAGTAGCTGTATAGACTAGGGTGGAAACGGGGCAATCAGTTGGAGGCTGTTGCATAATTCAGGTGAGAAAGGATGGTGGATTGGACTGGGGGTTAGCAGTGGAGAAGGAGAAAAGTCATCAGATTGTGACTATATTTTGAAAGTAGACCTAGTAGGATTTGTTGACGGACTGGAAGGAGGGTGTGAGAGAAAGAGAAACAGAGGATGACTTCATGGTTTGGGGCCTGGCCAGTTGGGAAAGCAGAACTGTCCTATCCTGAGAAGCTGAAGACTGGGGGGAGACCCTGGTGCCTATTGCTGTGTTTCTCACTCATTTACCTGTATATTGCTTTTTTCTTTGCATATTTGTTTTGAACACTGTACTAGCTCCTCTGACTTGGAACTGTCTTCAGCTCTCTCAAATGTGGCCAATAAAATGCATAGAGAGTAAAAATTTTAATTCATTCAGAGTAACTTTCTGAGAAAATGAAGTGTACTTTTAAACAATGACTTGATAAATAGACCTGGAAAAAGCAATAACCATCCCATCACGATTATTCTAGTAACACGTCTGTAGTCAGAGAGGTCAGAGATGTAATGGAGATGCAGCACTCACACTGAGTTGAAAGAGTATTTCTTCTTTTTCAGTAATGTGGCCTCTAGGTGAGCATCACGGGTGTCGAATGCAGATTTGACATTTCACAGGGCTGAGAGAGGTCTCGTGGGTTAGTTCCCGAATGTTCCCTGCCTGCATAACAAGCTGATTCATGCCCTTCATTGTCCATTTTGATTCCTTCTACTTTTAACTCTGTAGGCAAGTGAATATGTAAGTTCTGATTCTAGTCCACCTCATGGAAGCCAGATAAATAAAAAGAAGTACTCACCGCATGGATGAATTTATTATGTTTGCCAGTAATAGAAGAATTAGTTTGGATAACCTACTGAAGGGGTTACTCGTGTTTTTCTAGACATTCCCAATTATATATTCACCATGCTTGCTTTTTTTTTGCATTTTTATATATTGTACACATAATCTGAAGGTTAACTAAATACATTGTATTTTTCAGTGCCCACCAAACCTTCATAAACAAGATGGTTATGCATGCAATCAAAATCAGGTATGCTGGGCTATGAGTTTTAAGTATAATTTTAAAAGGATTAGTTTGGGAGGTTTTTTTTCCCCCCTTTCTGATGAATATAACTTTGAAGAGAAATTGCAACTCAAAGAACAATAAATTATCTCAATGGACGGCTAATTCAGTGTTGCACAGCATATCAAATACTAAATATAGTATTATATTTAGCCCTGGTGACAAATTGTCCAGATTGAGGGCAAGGAAAAAAATATAATGACTAAAGAATTAGGAATCCAATTTATCGAGTTGTGATCATCTTTCAGTAATGTCAGCCTATTATGGGAAAATATGAGTGTTATAATGTGCTATAATAGGTGATAATGTGTTTTTTTTTTTTCTTTTCTGAAGCCATGTTATGATGTAGCACTCATACCCAAAAGGAGCTAAAAATCATTTTGGAATGGCCCAAGGAAGTGTACCTACTTTTGTTTTTCATAAAATTTAAAATTTCCGATTACTTTTGACTTAAAGAGCTGTACTGTGAGGTCTCTTGTGAGTTTTAGAATTTAACTGTCGGTGGTGCCTCCCTTACAATGTTTGGGATTTTTTTTTTCACTGTGAAAATACTGGGGTATGGCATTGAAAAAAAATCAACTTACCTAAAACAGCAAAAGGAGACCATGCAGTCCAAATCTGGGGGAAATGAAAGTGTCTGCGTGGGCCCTTCTGATGTGTTTCTCTGTCCCCAGGGCCGCTGTTATAATGGGGAATGCAAGACCCGGGACAACCAGTGTCAGCACGTCTGGGGCACGAGTAAGTCATGTTTTCCTGGTTAGTCAATGCATGTGGGTTTCTCTGCACACATTACCCTGCTCTGCCAGTCTTGCTGAAGACTGGTTCGGCGTGGAGTGATGTTTTTATTTTATTTTAAGATTTATTTATTTATTTTAGAGAGAGTGGAAGTAGGGAGGGGCTGAGGGAGAGGGAGAGAGAGTCTCAAGCAGACTCTCTGCTGAGTGTGGAACCTGATGCAGAGCTCAAGCTCATGACCCTGAGACCATGACCTGAGCTGAAACCAAGAGTCACATGCTCAACTGACTATGCCACCCAAGCGCCCCCGGAGTGATGTTTTTAAAAAAAAAATCTAGGAAAGGGTGAGAAAAGAGAGAACTGTGAATCACAGTCACAAAACCCCAGAAAATGGTTGTTCAAGCTGGGGACTTGTCATCAGAACCAAGCTATGTCCCTCAGTGATGTGGCTGTCAGAGAAGAGATGTCACTTGCAAAGATTGGGTTCAGTGTGACAGTCATGTTCAATATCCAGCCACTTGTGTGACTCACTATGTACCTTGGATTTTACCATTACCCCTCAGGTTAGTCTTCTGTTCCTTTACCCCAGCGAAGTACCAGACTTATTTCTTAAATTCTGTAATTTTATCATCTCAGTTTTGAAGGGAAGAAATGGGGTCCTTCCAGAGGTGTAGACCCAGAGATTTGGGTACATGGTCCTGGCTCTCAGTATATGCCCTAAATGTTAATGCACATACTCTTTTTTTTTAAGATTTTAAAAAATTTTATTTATTTGAGAGTGAGTGAGTGAGCTTGAGCCAGGGGGTGGGGGGAGTGGTGCAGGGAAAGGAAGACTCCCAGCTAAGTGGGGAGTCCAGCTAGGACCCCAGGATCATGACCCAAACCAAAGGCAGATGCTTAACTGACAGAGCCCCCCAGGCGCCCCGAGGCCCAGACTCTTCCTGACATTGACTGTGCCTGTCCTGTGAACCTCAGTTCTTTGGGCCAGACCATAGCAGAGAAATGGGTCTGTCTTGCTGGCTGAAACTGGGTCACCCCCAGAGAAAAAGAAAGCCCACAGAAGGAGAACAGAGCCCCTGCAGGAGTATTTCAGTGTTTGGCAAAATATCATTTAACTGAATGATTTATTTTCAGTGCTTCAGTTTTGACAGAGAATAGATGATAGAGGCATATTGTCTTTTAAAAGGTTTAAATACTAAAACCCAAGTGTTGACATAAAATCTTAATTGCCTAAGATTTTTATAATATCTTTTAATACTAGGGTAAAACAAGCCTACGGATCTTTCTTAGTTTTCCATGTGCTACTTCCCTAATTCCTGCCGTTGGCCATTCCTCTCTTCCTCCCTCAACCCCACCAAGCACTGAGAGTCCGTTTGTTTCTCAAGTTAAAAACAGCAGCATGCTAGAACTGTCCTGGAGTAGCTTGCAAGAGCCAAGTGTTAAATTTTGAGGAATTTCAGAAGCCTGTGGCCATCACATTGGTAGCTTGAGATTAGCCCTGTGTTATACCAGAGACATTTACATGATGGCATTTACACCAGGGAAATTGGCATATGCCAGAGTCAGGATTTTTTTTTTTTTCCTGGAGAACCCGTTGTTAAACATTTACCTGCACGCTGCTGGTTGTGCATAACCAAAACAACTAAAACAAATCCTCTTCTCTTGTTCATCTCCAAAAGAGGCTTCTGGGTCTGACAAGTTCTGTTATGAGAAGCTGAACACAGAAGGCACGGAGAAGGGAAACTGTGGGAGGGATGGAGATCGCTGGATCCAGTGCAGCAAACAGTAAGTGGTCAGCTTTGGGGGCAGGACGAGTGATCGGAAGCCCTGGTTCAGATGTGAGTTGAGCACGAAAGAAATGTTACTGAGTTTTAATAGATATTCAGCTGTTTAAAATTTTATAGTATGTATTTTAAAAGTACATCAGTATATCTAGAAGCAAATGGCTTTGGACTAAGTTGCTCACCATGACGTAGACTCACAATGTTTATGTAAAATTCAGAACATTTCTCACATGTTGTATTTTACTTGATGCTTGTTTTGAAAAGACACTTTGCTGAGGTAGTACGAAATGCCTATGCATGTACTAGTATATCTAGTATCTAGATCTACAAGCAAAATATATAGAGTGTATGTATTTTAGGGATAATTCAAAGTGAAGTAATATATATTTTTGATTGTTCCATGAGCGCAACACCATTCAATTCAATTAAACATCTAATGTCTATATCAGATATTTTCCCTCTTCCAAAAGCATCTAGTTAGTGCATTCCAGAGGCATCTTTACTCAGGAAATGAGATATTTTCAGAGTTCATCAGTAATACTTTGCCTGGATTAGTCAAGGAAAGTGAAAATTGTGATTTAATAGTTTATTAAGGTTAACTCAATGACATGGCTCTATGGAACTATCAGGTTATGGGCCAAATTTCCTTCATTATGCTTCCATGACAATGAAGATTCTTCCAATTATGAAGCAGAGCAAGAATCTAAAGAAGTGTTATTTTTCTAGTTAATGATCTCTTTGTGTACTTCATGAAACTTTGCTATTCCCTGTAGTCTTTGATGGTGGATGAGGCCTTACAAGGCAACAAATCTTTGACTGTAATTTCTTTAAAATTAAACCAAAATAATAGAGCAGAACTTCCCATCTGATGTCTCACAAGTGAGGCACAGATGTTCCAAAATATTGCTCTTCTTTCTGAGGTGCCAGAGAGTAGAAGGAAGTAGAGCCTAAAGTCATAAAAATCCATGTGGTTAGACACCTGGATTTCATTAGCTTCATTCATTAGTTTAATGTCCTAGACCACCTGGGCATTTCTGTGTGTTCTTTGTAACTTCAAAAAGTTTGGGAGGCATTGGATTGGGTCATTGTAGAAGATAGCTTTTGAATATCTAGTAACAGAATATCCAACCACCAATGAGTTAAAGAAAATTAATGCATGTTTTCTGAAACGTTTAAAAAATGGGAAATATGACATATAAGCAGAAAAGTGAATAACACACAAATATACAATTTGCCAAATAATTATTACGTGAACTACCATGTCAAGAAATAGATCAAGAAATAGGACTTGCAGCATCCCAGAAAATGTATCCTTCCCCGCAGGGTGCCCTCATCTTGCTCCTGGAGGTATTATCATCGGGACTTCTGTGACAATTACTTTCTTGCCTTTTAGAGTTTGGATGCTTTGGTTTTCATCCCTAAATACATCCTAATGTATCTTGCCTCACACTTTGGCATAAAGTTGGGGACTCATACTTCATGTATTATTTTGCCTCTTAAGTTCAGCATTTTAAGCATCTTCCATGATGTGTGTCACTGTTCATATTTATCGTTCATCTGTTTTATTTTAACTTGTATTCATACTCACAGATGATGATGTAGTTCTCCACTCTGTGTTAGTGGGCATTTAGGTCGTTTCCATGTTTTGGCTGTTAGGAGCCAGGTTGCCATGGGTATTCCTATACATGTAACAGTGCACATTTGTATACATTTTTCTAAGGTTTATACCCAAAAGAAAAATTGCTGGGTCACAGGGTATGTATATTTTCAGTGTTACCAGATGATGGCATAGTTTTCTAAAATGGTTGTAGTAGTAAACCCAACCATCAGTAATATGCATATGAGAATTTGGTTGAACCACATACTGAATCAGCACTTGTTATTATCAGACTTTTTACTTTTATCCATTCTGGTGGGTATAATGCTAATTGATTGTGTTTTTAATTTGCATTTTCCTGATTACCAGTGGAATTTAGTACATTTTCATCATTTATTGGACATGGATTTCCTCCTCCCCCCTTTTTTGATGTGCCATTTCAATTCCTTGCCCATTTTAAAGGGGGAGTTAGTTCACTGTTTATTTAATAGAGAGGCAGGAGGTAGCTGCCCTCATGAGGGCTGAGTTGCTAAAGACCCAGCCGATTTCTCTCTCTCTGCTCTGGAATGCTTAGCATGTTGAGTGCTTCCTTCTGCTGGTGAGCTCACTATGGCAAGGTGGATGCCAGGGCCACACATTCAAAGGCAGGCAATGTGGGAGTCTGAACAAAAGGTCTTTTCCCTGTCTGGCTCTAACCTCTTATCCAGAAAGCAACATTCTCCCCAGCAACTTTCTAGCGGGCTTTTACTCGCATCTCAACACCCAGGGGCCACTTTTAGTTCTACTAGGGCAGGACAGTGGGATGGGTAGGAAAGTGAGTATGGGGGCCGGAGGTGCCATTACTAGCTTAGACACCAGTCATGATCCATCTTGCAAACTGGTTGCTACCCAAACAAAACTGTGATCCTGTTAGCAAGGAAGGATAGGGGTCATAGCCAACCAACAATGTCTGAATACGTGTTTTTATTTAGGATGGAGGAAAATATTTTCAATTATTGGATATGTGTGGACTGAATACTTTTGATTATGTGGAGCTTGATTCCTCCTGTCTTGTTCTGTTTTTGTTTTTATTTAACATGCTCAGTGATGTGTTCTGTGGGTTTTTACTCTGTACCAATCTTACTCGAGCTCCACGAATTGGTCAACTTCAGGGTGAGATCATCCCAACTTCCTTCTACCATCAAGGCCGAGTGATTGACTGCAGGTAATATATTAAATGTTTGAAAACCTAATGAATCACAAGAATTACAAATTCAGAAAAATCAAGGGAAATTTTTCTGTTCACAGGAGTCGTCAGACTTTGATTTTATGATCACTTTTCATGTTCAGAGTTATTTAAAGAAAAAAAAACAAAGTTGTATGTTGATTTGCAAATTACATTCACTCAAAAACTGGACCACTTAGTGGTAGAGGGACAGTCTTTGTAATTATAATCATCAAGCAGACTTACAGTATCCATGATTAAAGCTTTGAGCATTGGAATAGGTCACTATTTGAACACTATGTGTGTTTTATTTTTTTATGACAAGAAAGTTTAAGCTATACTTATGTATATGTATACATATGTAACATATTTCTCATTTAGAAGATGGTTTAATAAATAGTCACCCGCATATAGAATATATTTATTAGAATATTGTTTATACTATAGGCAAACATTTTTGATATTCAGTTTTGAGTACAAGGCACAGGGAGTACAAGGCATGTTTTTAAAGCCAGGAAGTCACATTATATTCCAAATAAGTATTGTTCCTTTCAAAGTAGTCTTAATTCTAAGATGCTGTCCTTTCATTCAAATGGTTCTGTTGTTGCCCAAAACACTTCTGAAATTCCCCTACAGAATTGCCTTCAGCATCTGCAGACTTTTATTGTACTATGCTTAGAGTAGCCAGCCTTCATCTTATGTGAGTGAATATAAGATTTGGAAACATACAAAAAATTTTTTGCACAAAATTTAGGAAATTGAGTAAACAAACTGAATAATGTTCTCTTAGTCAAATGATTTCTGGTTTTTTTCTTTAAAAAGAACTATTTCAAGCAAACTCCCCACTGAGCTCCATTGTTGGGTTTGATCTCACCACCCATGAGATCATGACCCAAGCTGAAACCAAGAGTTTGACACTTGATCAACTAAGCCACCCACACGCCCTTTTTTTCTTTTAAATTGTTCTGAAGAGGGATCCCTGGGTGGCTCAGCGGTTTGGCGCCTGCCTTTGGCCCAGGGCGCGATCCTGGAGACCCGGGATCGAATCCCACGTCGGGCTCCCGGTGCATGGAGCCTGCTTCTCCCTCTGCCTATGTCTCTGCCTCTCTCTCTCTCTCTCTCTCTCTGTCTCTCTCTGTGTGACTATCATAAATAAATAAAAATTAAAAAAAATAAAAATAAAAAAATAAATTGTTCTGAAGAAAATTCTAACTTGTCTTAGATGATAAGATCCTTCCTGGAGGAGCACCTGCATGGCTCAGTTGGTTAAGTGTCTGCCTTTGGCTCAGATCATGATCCCAGGGTTCTGGGATCAAGCCTCATGTTGGGCTTCCTGCTTAGCGGGGAGCCTGCTTTTCCCTCTCCCTCTGCCTGCCACTCATCTCTCTAGTGCTCTCTCTCTCTCAAATAAATAAATAAAATCTTTAAAAAAATCCTTCCTGGAATAAAATTGCAGTCTTCAAGTATAGTTACTTAGATGCACGTTCATTGAACATAAATTTTCACACATCTTTTAATATGACAGCCTTATTAAATTATACATTCTAAACTAGTATATTTAGCCAGATACCCCATTAGTAATTATAACATTGATTATTATTCAAATTCAAGTTGTCCCTAACTTTGAAATTTTAGAAGTAAATAAATATAGGGAGGAATTGGTTTGTTTTCTCAACCATGAACAATCCAATTCTCTAAAGCAATCATAATAATTTTCAAAATATTTTCATTTGCTAATTTGCTCAGCATCTGCCTTTTTGTATCATGACGCACCTGAGAGCCTTGGAGAGCTCATATTAAGCTTGCTTCCTTTATTCTTAGATGAACACCTCTCCCTTAGTCTTTACGTTGTTCTTAAAAACAAGTGAAGATTTAGAATACACTTTGTGCAAATGACATTTTTTTCCTGATGGCATGCAGTGTAATAATATCAATAAAAGGTATTTCCTGTCAATGTGCTCTTTTATTAAGGAGAAGTGGGGAAAGGGGAAAGGAAGGGATAAGTGGAGAAATGCCTCTTTAGTTTCATGAAGACCAAGCCTCCTTCATGTTGACTTTCTATTTCTAACTATGGTGCTAATAGTTGTATGAATATTTTTCTCCTTTTAGTGGTGCTCATGTGATTTTAGATGATGATACAGATGTGGGCTATGTAGAAGATGGAACGCCATGTGGTCCATCCATGATGTGTTTAGATCGGAAGTGCCTACAGATTCAGGCCCTAAATATGAGTAGCTGCCCACTTGATTCCAAGGGTAAAGTCTGTTCAGGCCATGGGGTAAGTAGTCATCTGTGTTCTGGTTCAAACTTTTATTGTCTGGCACCCTCAAAGTTCACAGTGGTCAGATTTCCATTCCAACCATTCATTCTCCTTTTGTGAGTGTTGCCGGTACCTGTGCCCTAAGATGCTTTCCTTAGTATTCTTATCTGCTAAGGATAATACCCATATATATTAATATGGTTTTATTTTGTTGTTTCTCTTATCACTGGCTGTTTGTATTCACCACGTATCTATACCTTGACATCTGAAGAATTGGAAGAAAATTGATATGGTTCCTAATAGAGCTGTCGACCCCACGTGAACTACTTTGTACCATTCAAAATAACTTTAGTCCTCTCGGAAATTCCCCTTTAGCTAGTCAGCATGTAAACTGAATATCTGCATGTGCCAGATCGCGTAGACTAGAGGTTGGACCACTGGTATAATTCACATGTTTAAAGTTGTATGGTTATGCGCAGACCATTGCCAGCTCAAGAGAAGATGCCTTCTCTACTCACACATGCATGGATTTGTAATTCTATGGACTACATTTGTAGTTGAATGAAATACATTTGTAGTTCTCTGAAAAGTGTTTGGGCAGACACTTCCTGGCAAAACTAGGCTTAATATCTAGAAACAAGTTTTAATAATTATTTAAATTGGTTTAGTAAAAGAAAGATCTTTCAAAATGTATACAGACTTTAGAAATGGAAAAAAGAGAGACATGAAGAAATTGAGAGTGATGATATAAAAGGAGACGCTGGAATGAAGGTGATAATAATTCAAAATATAGATATAGAGTAGATATAGAGATAGAGTAGATGTAGAGTAGAACAAGGTAGAGAGGCCTAAGAAGGACATGCCCAGTGACTACTGAGCATTTCGGGTTTGGTTGAATCCTAGGCTCACAGGGGAGGCAGTACAGCTTAGGGATTTAGAGCATGGATTTGGAGGCTAGATAGAGCCACGGGTAGGAGTCCTGGCTCTGCTTCTTGTTCTCTCAGTGACTTCGGGTAAGTCACTTACCCTCCCACAGCCACCAGAGTGCTAGTGTGAGGATCAAATTAGATGCTTTACATAAAGCCCTCAGTGAAGGTGCCTAGCACGTGGTAAGTGCGCAATAATCGCTATGTTAAAATAAAAGCACCAGAGAGATATTTCAGTCATTGCCCTGAACACATCAAAACTTAATGCTTAGAAAGGCTCTTTATTCTCTACTATCTCTCCCACTTTTTCATCCTGTTAAATAAAAGGTCAAATTCAGCCTCATTAATCGTAATCGTGGTACTATAACATTTCAGATTAAAAAGCTTCTTACAGAAATAAGCTTCTATTCAATTTATCATCCCTAATGATCGGTCTCTGAATGTATCTCACAGGTGGATAAGAGCTTCAACACCTCTGTCTCTAGTTTGCAGATGGTTGTTTATTTCATCTAAATTATAAGCCCATTCTAGCATGCTGCTTGGTCTCCAGGACCAGCAAAAGGAGACAAAGAGCATGCGAGGAGGGTCTTCAGCCTGGCTGACAGAGAAGAGTGATCCCAGGGCAGGCAGGGGAGGTGGGGGGGGTGTTCATTTGGCTGAGATAGTGCCACCAAACAAATGTGACGTTGGACACGGTGAGATAAAACAGTACATTGATGATTTATGGCTTCCGGCCTTTCACCTCTGGCCTCGCCACTGGAGCCCAGTGTCTATTAATTTCTTGAATTAAGCATATGTTTCTAAAGTATGTTCCTAGAAACAACTACTTTTGAAAAAACTACATCATCAGACATTTGTGCAGGTAAATAATATCAACATAAACAATTAATATTTAATGAAACGTCTTCTTTTTTTAAATGGATCTCTCTTTAATTAACAAGAAAAACACTCTTCAACAATTTAATATAGACACTGTCTCCCATTGTCCACCGTGGGAGACTTAAAAAATTCAAAACAGTTTTTAAAAGCTTCTGCCCTGCCCCATGGCTCTTTCACATTTATCACTATTATTCAGAAAAGCACAATCCCAGTGACAATGTCCCATCTCTGTTCTTTGTTCTTCACAGGTGTGTAGTAATGAAGCCACCTGCATCTGTGATTTCACCTGGGCAGGGACTGACTGCAGTATCCGGGATCCAGTTAGGAACCTTCACCCGCCCAAAGATGAAGGACCCAAGGGTTTGTGTGATTTCAGTTTCAATTCATCGCATACTGAATTTGTTGGTACTCTTCCAGTGGTGCCAATATAACAACTTAATAGGTTTGAAAGGAGACACATCAGAATATCTTTTTTTTTTTTTTTTGGCCTTTCAAATATATAGTTCATGTTACTGCAGAGTGAAGGATTCTAGAATGATGTCTTGAGAGGAAAAATGTGTGAATTTCCCCTTAGTTTAGAACTGAGATTAGGAAGAAGTAAATATACCAATTTCCTTCCTTCTTGTTTCCTTTCTTTAGTTTAAACCTTCTTTTTCCATAATCACATATGTTAATCATTTTACAGTTTGTCTACACTATGCCAGTTTTCTAATAGATACAGTTTTTTTGGCCGATGTGAGACTCTAGTCATTCTTCAGTATTTGAGTCCCTCTAGAGGGAGATTGCAGTCTTCTTATTCTGATTAAACATGCTTTTGATTAGGGAGAAGTTGAAAATCTTCACAGAATGTTAATTCTTTAAGAGAAAACAAAAGGCCTGGACTTTGTCTCAAACAGCCATCAGAAGGAGAGAAATTAGAATTTTATTTTTATTTTTTTAAAAAGATTTTATTTATTTATTGAGAGAGAGAGAAGGGGAATGGTGGAGGGAGAGAGAGAGAACTTCAAGCAGACTCCATGCTGAGCACAGAGCCCAGTGCAGTGCTTCATCCCACGACCCTGAGATCGTGACCTGAGCCGAAATCAAGAGTCGGATGCTCAACCAACTGAGTCACCCAGGCGCCCTTAGAATTTTAGAATTAAGAGGCGTCTCAGTGACCATCTAGAACCACCCTCACTTTGCAGATGAGAATACATAGGCCTTGAAGTCAGGTGACATCCTATAAAGTTACCCAGGTAATTAGAGACAGGGCTAGGACCAGGCCCATTGCCTCCCATTACATTGTGTCATAATGTAGTCTTTGTCATCATGAACATGGTAATCACTTTCTCATTATTCCCCTCATTCCCAAGCCCTCATGTTTTGCAAAGATCTAAAGAAGTCATCAGTTGTAATAGGCTTACTACAGCATCTATCTAGCATTGTACCTGAGAAACCAGAGTTATTAGAACAAAGGATGAATCCCAGTGACATCATACACCAGGTTCTTCTTTTTCATGGTACCACTAATGGTGTTTTATAAATAACTATCATGATTTTTTTTCCAGCAGGTAGGAAAAAAAATGCACCTAGAAACAGTGTCATTTTGATCTGCTTAGTTTTGCATGAAAGCTCATTTAAACTCTGAACTTCAGCATTGTCCATATGGGTAAATACAACTTCAAAAGTGTATGAAGCTCCATGGTCCCCAATTCCTGAAGAGATGTAGCCGATCTGGGTGCATGTGTAATGTTCAGTAATAGTGGGTGTGCTAAACACTCTTCGTGCATTTGCTGAAAATGCCCATGATGCTAAAATTCTATAAGAATCATAGTCACGCCCTCGCAGTCTATTTCTGTTCTCCTTTTTCTATTTGTAAAAAGGAACCAATTCCACTTTCACATTTAGTCTTTAGTTACCTTAAAACTGGAACAAAAAATTCTTGGATCCGCCTTCAGAAGTTGGATTTAGAGTGGATTTAAAGCTCCCACAAGGGAAACAGACATTCACACTTTCCAAATTTTCTCTCCATGGCATGTCTGATTCTCCTAAAGGTCTAGATGCTGTTTCCTCAAGCAATGCATAAAGATGCCTGAAAAGATGAGCAGAGCTCCATTGCCTAAGACTCTGTCCTTTTTCATTAGGTGGAGTGGGGATTTATCAGGTGTCTGGATCTGTCTGTTCCCCAATTCCTCACCCACCCATACCTAGAAAGCTTAGATGGAGGCGTAAATAGCCGCATTTTGGAGAAGAGATTCATGGCTGCCTTCCGTTTTGTTTTCCTTTTCCCTGTGATTCTATTCTATACTATCTTTTAAAAATAACTTTTATGACCATTCAAGTAATACATGTTTATTGTAGAGAATTTTGAAAATACAGAAAAAGATTAAAAAGGAAATAAAAATCACCCTTAATTCCACAACTCAGAGGTAATCAATATACACATTCTGGTGTGTTTCTTTTCTGTTGCACATTTTCTTTTTTCATTATTAATGAAAACAATGGAATCACTAAAGTAAAGGCACCCACCGGTTCCAGAATTGTTAAAATCCTCATGACTCTGATAATCTTGATTAAGTTGAAAAAAGCCATTAATTACTACAAATGAAGAGCAGTTTTCTATTACATATTACTTCACTCATGTTCTCCACATTGACATTTATTTCACATATGAGGACTCTTCTGGTCCTTCTCCTCCCAACATGTGTCCATTGAATTCAGAGAAATTATTTTGGTTTGTCCTAACGGGGTAGGATAAGTTTGTACCCTTTAAAAGGCCTAGAACTCCCCCCTGCTGCAGGGAGAGCCAGTAGAAGTACTGGTAATTTTTGACAATTCATGGACATCTTTGGTGCTTATTATGCAGTACAGTGGAATTTTTCTCACTGGATGGTTTGCATCACCATTACGGGAGGGAAGAGAAGAAACTGGAACATATCACATGTTTCCATTGATAAGGAAGGACAGAGGCCTTCCTGGGAGCTTTGCTCAGACCCTTTCATTATGTCAATAGTCATCAAATCAGAGATAGAAGGGCCTTGGTGGTCATTCAGTCCAGACCTGCTGTTCTACAGATGAGAAGACTATTTAATTATTAGAGTTAACAGCTAGGTAGGGACAAAGCCAAGAATAAAACATAGATCACCTGATCTTGAGCCTAATGCTCTGTTATTGTGCACTGCCTTATTTAAAGCTGAGTATTACGTTATTCTGCTGGTTCTCATAGCGCAGTAATAAGTAGAAAGGGTGAAACAGTAACCCTGTTGTGATTAAGCTGGTTAGCTCATCCATTACCTGTCGAGGGAGTTTTATATTATTAGCATTTAGTGCTTTGAAAACAGTAATTTCTAAGTCTTAATACCTTGAGGAGTATTATTTAGTGTTTACATTTACTGTTTGCATATGTCTTGTTGATAACTTCCTTTGTGAGTACACAAATCTTTGATTTTGTAGTTCAGATGACTACAGATGAGGATTTATGATTACCATATATGATTATGCTCATGTATAATTATGTATCACCTATGTATTTTTCTCATTAATAATGGCCTCATCAATAACTGAAGGATTTACCAGGTTTTAATTTTTTAGTAACTGAATTGATTTTGTTGGAGTTCAGAAAAACTCCAGGATATTTTCACTGACAATGTAAACTGTCTGAAATAATACTCTTATATGAAATAATTTTTCATCTTCTTAGACATTTCACCCAATGTATCTGAAAATGAACTTATTTTTTAATTTCATGGAAAAGAGTAAGGAGATCTGATTGTCTAACATTGAAATATGGAGCTAGAAAACATATGTTTGTCATGCCAATGTTATATTCTGAATTATAAAGAGTATATTTAGTATTTATTTCTAATCTTAAATTTTAGTGAAATCATAAATCCCTACAGAAGGAGCTTTGGCTTATAAGAGTACAGATGATGGCTTTGATGCTTCCAGTCTTTGAATTATTAAGGGATACAGGATGATAGCCCTTTTGGCTCATTAGAATCACTTAGATGAAATAAATGCACCTTTTTTTTTTTTTCAGAAACTCTCAAAAGTAAGGAAAAAAACCCCAATTGCTCAGTTTCAAAAGCACAATTTCACACTATTGGAAGCATGACTTGTCTGTGGGAGAATTCTACTAATAAAGTAGAAAGTCTTACGAAAAGGAGTAAAGTTATAGTTTGTATCTTAATAGTACAAGTTTATTTAAAAATGTGCCTTTACATGTGATACTAGATAGCAGGTAACCCAAACTAAAAACAATGATAATAATAAACCAAAAGACAACAGAAGTTGGTGAGAAAACAAAAATGAAGACATACCACTAGGTAATAAAGAATTTCCACAGACAAGTTATAACGCAAAGGTAAGTACGTTAAAGAGTTAGGGAAGAAAGTTGAGTCCCTCATAGGGGGATTGTGTTATTAGCTAGAGTCTTTACGAGTTCCATCTCCAGGTTTGGTGGGACGTGGAGATAAAAAAGGTATGTCATCATGTGCCTGGCATAGTTCCTGGAACAAAAAAAGACATTTAATAGATAACGAATGAACCAGTGAACGAGTGAATGAATGAACAGATACAGTTGCATCACTAATCAATTAGTACAGGAGTAAAACGACAGCATAGGCCCCCAAAATACAAGGTGGGTTTTTTGGGGGGGTGTTTTTTCTTTTTTTAAATAAGATAAATCCTTTGTAGCTGCAAGGAGCAGCTGAACCTTCCGTTTTCAAATTTGTCCCCTGCAAAAATCCACCCACTTGTGAGCCAGTTGATTAATTCATGTCAGTTTAAAAGCAAGGTTGAATCACGACCTTCTGGAAGAGATAACCCTTTTCAGTATCATGATAGAGCCAAGTGTATTTCACATATGTTGTCAGTGTACGAGAGTTGAAGGCAGCGAGAGGGAAGGAGGGAGGGTGAACAAGGAGGATGGAGGATACTTTTGAAAAAGCTCTTTTCGCACTTAATTTATCTCTCTTTGGTATTAAGAGTGGTTATCAGTTAAGAATTTGAAGATAATTATTCTTGCTCAGAAGATATTATAGGCTGTATTTGTTTACCTGGAATGCATATTTGAAGCATCTACAGAAATGCCTTGCTCTTCTGTTTGATTTTTAAAACCCACATGACAGATTGCCTAATTCTCTTGATTGTACAGTGAGAAATTACATCTATGGCAAACACAAAAGCCTCTTTAAATTGCCATTTTATTCATTCATGCAGTTATAGTTTTTAAAAATTAACAAGTATTCATGTAGCACCACATCTTACCAGTGTGTGTATGTGTGTGTGTGTGTGTGTGTGTGTCCTACAATTTAGCACTTTAAAACATTGTAGCTTATATAAAAATTGGACAGGTAATAAGACTTTCATGCATTTTGGCTCTGAGGGCCAATGCCTAAATCTTAAGGGAAAAAAATTACAAAATAATATATCCTGGTTAATTTAGTATTCTGAAGGCAATGATTTTTCTAAGATCTTTAAAAAAATGTGTATTTCTATCTATAATACCTTTCATTCCAGTATTTGCCTTCACAGTTTGGAAATCTGAGATATAGTTCAGGTTATTTTGGATTATAATGTATTGTTCTATTTGGAAAACATCACCACCATCTTATATGTTGGTCTTCTTTCCATTCTCCTCAAAGTCCTCAGTAGACTTTCTCTGTTTTCTGTTGTATTTCACATTTTTTTCCTTTTTAAGAACAACTCAGGTTGTACCTTCCTAATGATAAAGCTAGACTCTTACTCATATTATTTGCCCTGTGATGAAATGAAGTACAGCTGCTCACCAAGGTTGGAGATCCGAGGTTCTCTCTCTTCTTTCAGAGAGGAAAGACAAAAAAGGTCAATGACCCCAATATTGAGCTTTAAACAGTTGTGAGTTCAAATTGTGGTTCTTTGTTTTGCTTCATTGCCTCACAGCACACAATGTGTGTGTTGCAGCCTTATCAAAGTCAGTCTCTCTTTTCGTTAGTAAAGTGACTTGAAGCCAGTACTTTTGATTCACATGGGAATGAGGTAAAGTGTGTATGTGTCCACACGCTTGCACTCACACACTCCATCTTAATCTGCCTTTCTGCTTCATTGTTAACCTTCACCTTGCCTGTGTGGAGAGCAACTTGAGGACCTCTGCTCAGCGCAGGCCCTTTTTGCAAGATCCAAAAGCTCTGCATGGAAGAGGTGATGTGCAAGCGTGGAGTATCTCCACTCAGTAATCTACTGCTGGCTGGTCCCACGCCTCCTGGCGACCCTAACTTTTTCTCAGCGAGTAGTTTATGGACTCAAACTGTAAACAACAACAACAACAAAAACCCTAAATGCCCAAATACTGTGACAGAAACCCAAACATTGCAGAGTTACGTGAAATACACTCTTACAGGGGAAAATACACTTAAAGATAGTCTTTTAAATTTGTAAGGACTTTCACAAAATTAGATAGTAAGTTCTGAATTTTAAAAACATGTAGACTCTTAGGCATATTTTACAGTTTGAGAAGTTTATAAAGTATACTAATGGCTTGTTACTTTATAATTGAAACCCAGACTTGCTGTTAGGCGGTTTAAGTGATATTTTAATTCCAATTCATTCCTTGTAGGAACTCTAACTCAAATTAGATTATATATGGGTTAAACAGCATTTATAAGAGACGATGTTTTTAAGAAGGGTTTGTGAGGTTTGCAGTTAAATTATCCTCAAAATTATACAAATTATCCTCAAGTATTCTCAATGTGTATGTAAACCTTCATTTCAAATCTTAAAGGAAAGATGTCAGTACTTAACTGACTTCCAGAGCGTTTCCTGAAAAGGTTATTTTGTGTGTTAGCAAAATCGATGTGTGATTAATGTCCTTTATTAAAAAAGATCTTCGTTTTCCCTCCGCACAGTGAACATGGCCACAAGCAGACTAATAGGTGCTGTGGCAGGCACCATTCTGGCTCTGGGGGTGATTTTTGGAGGCACAGGGTGGGGAATAGAGTAAGCATCTCTGTGAGTTTCAGAGTGTTTCTGTTTGGTTCCCGATGTGTGATGAGCTGACCCTTGTACCTGACCCCTACTGTGTGTTGTCTCGTCAACGTGTTTCCCATGCTAGTGCAACTTGTGGTGTGACTTGGATGTGTTTGTGTCGTGTGGTCTTCTTGTGCAGTGAAGAACCTTCTCCTGTCTGGAACAATGTGGGGCATAAAATAATATTGGGGTGCTTATGATGTCTTCACAATTAAGACAATGGTCCAAAAGCTCCCATTGCTCCTCTACTTATTTTAAAGATCTTATTTATTTATTTCAGAGAGAGAGCCGGAGAGCACAAGAGGGGATGGGGTGGGGTGGGGGAGGAGCAGAGGGAGAGGGAGAACCAGACTCTCCCCCGAGCAGGGAGCCCTACTCGGGACTCAGTCCCCAGCGGGGATCAGGACCTGAGCTGAAGGCAGACGCTTAACCGACTGAGCCACCCAGGCGCCCCGCTCCTCTCCTTATAGAAGTAATTTTAAGATACACCCTTTGTTATTTTTTATTGGCAAAAATGCTTTTATATGAGTGTTTGCTTAGGATTCTTATAATGAATACAATCTTCACTAGTCAAATAGATCCACATATCCAACTAGGGATTATCAATAGTTGTAGCTTCTTTTTACAGTAATTGGAATGATAGTCACTAATATTTTTTTCCACTTATTTAGAGTGATGAGGGAGGCTTTGGCTTAATTTTTTTTTTTTGTAAAGAAGATATGTAGGGTATTGCCTTCATTTTTTTCCACTTACAATAGATAATTCAAATCAGAAGTTTACATAAATATTTGGGACCAAAGAAGAAGAAAGAGATATTTATTCAAACCTGCAAAACCTTCCGTGAATAGTTGCAAATTATCTGGTTGGCTTTGTCTTAAAAATAGCCAGTGCGTAAATAAGTAACTTGTGCATCACTTGCCTGTTGATCTCCCAGAGAACTCTAAGGTCTTCTGGCACCTTTATTGAGGTTGCTCTAGACTGGATCCACATCCTCAGAATAGCTGTCAGTTCTCTATGGGATGTTGCTTTCATGAGGTTCCTAATCTTTAGGCTAAAAGAGCGATTTTTCTCTCTGTCTCTAATTACAAGGGACATTTACAAATGACAGAAATACCCCTTCACGTGCTGTCTCTGTGTTAGGGGGTGGTGGTAACACTTCATAGTGGCCCAGGGGTGAAGTACTAGTATCTTGAGGAATCACTGGACACCATCTACTCAACCGGACCAAACTGTGGGCATGTTGATCCTATTACACACATTCCTCCTTAGTCCCAGTAAGTACAGCCCCTGGGTGCTCTTCCATCCTGGGCCTGGGAGACCCAGGTACTGACACAGCAGGAAGAGGGGCCCAGGCCCATAGGTCCCGCTCTGGGCTGAAGATTATCTGAGCCTTCTCTCCCCTGCTTGGAAGGACTTTGACTTGACTTGCACCTGCTCACTCACAGCCCGTCGGTAGGGACCGTGAAGTTCATTAACTCAGGGCAGCTAGAAATACTGGAAATGATATTTTGTTTCCCTTTACATGTTAGAAAATAAAGTATTATTGTAGAGGTAACATCTTTAGAGAAAATAAAACTCTGTCCTATAAAAATTTCACCTTGGATCTGCTGCCTGGGTGATATATAGAAGTAACATTTCTTTTCCAGGGGGAAATTTTACATAGATATTTATGTGAAATTCCTCCTTGAAGAAGGATAGTTTTCTAAAAAATAATAATAATAATAATTCCAATGTTTTTTAGATTATTTACTGACCGTAATTGTGATGTGCTGCAGTGTACCGACTAAGGAAGGAGTTTTAATAATTTTCCATTTGAGCCTTAGAGATAGGCAAGCCCCAGGGCATTCGTTGTAAAGCATGGTCCTTGTTACCAGCATGTTTTCCTCCTCCCTTCCAGTCTTGTTGGTTTGTGCCTATTTCTGGTTGTGACAGGTAAGTCCGTATACGTGTATTTTTTTTCTTAAAATAGATTTGTTACTTATTATTCTGGGTTTCTGCACTGTTTTTGTTAGCTGACTGTTTTCCTGCAAATTCTAAATTGTACCATAATTGCTAAATCATAAACATGGTTTTTAAAAAATCCACAATAGTACAATATAGATTGTTTTAACACTTCCTGGCTTAGCTGATAGTGTAAGGTTCACTTAGTCACTAAGGATTCTATGGACAGAAGGTTTGGGGTTTTTTTTTGGGGGGGGGGAATGGGGACTTTTATTTCTGCTCCTTAGTTTATAATTGTAAATCAGGAATCATTTCTCATGAATTATGTATTGATTCTAATCCCAGCCTGTTTTCTGAGCTAGTAAAGTGCAAACCATGCCTAAAGCAGAATGTACATGGAAATAGAAATATTTTCTCAACGTTTGTTTCAAAATGTGTTTCCCTATTAAAGTGCGGGAAGGAAATACATATAAATGGGATGTTTCATTAGAGTAGGGGTTAGCAGACTTTTTGTAAAGGGCCAGGAGATAAATAGTTTTGGCTTTGCAGGCCACAGGATGTTTGTCACAACCTTAGGACTTTGCTGTCTTAGTACAAAAGTAACTGTAAACAACATGAAAACCTATCAGTGTGGCTGTCTTCCAATAAAATTGCTTTGCAAAAACAGGAAGTGGGACCACATTTGGCCAATGGGCTATAGTTTGCTGACCCTTGGTTTTTAGCATAAGCTTTTGAGTCAGTCAAATCTATGTTCACATCTTGTCTCTATAACTACGTTCTAGAAGTAGAACACTTCTTCTTCTATTAGACAGGGATAGTCATAACTCCTACTTTGTATGGTTTTTGTGAGGATCCAATGAGAGAATACTTGTCACATGCTTAAAACCACACCTGGCATGTAGTACGTGCTCAGTGTAGAGACACTAACCTGGTTGTATTGCTCTCTTACTACCTTGTATTATCATTTGTGCGTTCCTGAAGGACACTGAGATGTGTGTTCTGTAGGACCTCAGTGGTTAGTCTTAAGAACGTGTCACAAGCCCAAGAGCCTGAAAAGACCACATCCCCAAACCCCCACTGCATCTGTCCCCCACCTTTCTACTCACCCTCACAAGCACTGGGTGGTCTCTAAGTAAAAACATGTGATGCACACAATTTTAGTGCTGCTCAAACTGGCATCCATTTATGTACACAGTTGAGGGCACTGATGTGAGCAGAAAAGAGAATTTTTTTACACAGAAATGAATATATATACACCAAGTTGAGGATTTTAGGGGAAATACCAAAATTGGTCTTGTGACTTCTGGTACAGGATACTCAGGACTGGAAGGTTTCTGCTGTTTGGGGCACTGTACCTATGTACTAGCATCCTTAAGGATGGGATATTCAAAATAATCCTGCACTAAAGTTAAGGTTGCTTACCTTGAAAAATCGAGAGCTACAGCCTTTCCCTCTGTGAGTGGAGAGGATGTGCTGTCCTGTGAATCGACTCTGACTCCAACTATTGATGCAAACTCCACCTGTGTGTTCTAGCTTGCTGTCCTCTCCGCTCCCTTTTGAAAGTATATCTCCAAGCCTCAAATTGCAAATGGGAACTTGAAAGATAGTCTCAATTGAACTTGCCGAATCTTTTTTCCATTTCCACAAAATTGCCTAAATAAGTTTTATGCTTCCTACCTATCTTGCCTTTGGAACCACCTGCTGTTGTTCCAACATTGTATGGATCCATACAGTGAAGAAATGCATCTCTGAGAGCAAGGCTTCAAAGTCAGATCTTTATTCGGAACCTCCTTCTGACTTTTAAATGGGGTCTGTTTCCAAGTGGGGGATAAAACAAAAATGTAGCATTCAGACAACTTGGTGTGCTGCCTGAGAGAGCACTTTATTAGACTATTTTTCTCTCTTTTCCTGCCCTCATTTGCCAGTCAGGTCTAGCTAATTCTAATGCACCTGGGTTCTTGATGCGCTCTTTTGCTTGTTTGATTCATGATGTTGGGAAGGAGGAGAAGAAAGATGTGCCAGCAGGTGGGGCGCATTTGCTTCAAAATCTGTGGAAGGTGAATTTAAAGGAACTTAATTGTCAGCGGTGCAGAAGCTTTAGATGTAGAGGCATTCCTTTCCAAGCAGTAGCTCTCCGTTGCATCAGCAGTGCAAATTAAGTGAAGTAAATAAAGGCGATTTAAGTACTTAGCGACTTTTCAATGCTGGGTATTTACTTCCTGAAACCACTTAACTGCCTTTCCCTCGTGGTAACGACAGTAGTTGGCTCATATGACTTTCTTCCCATGATCCTTTGTCACAGGTCCTAGTGCCACCAATCTCATAATAGGCTCCATCGCTGGGGCCATCCTGGTAGCAGCTATTGTCCTTGGGGGCACAGGATGGGGATTTAAGTAAGCAACGCCGCATGTCTTCTTCTCAGTGGCTCTGGCACTTCTCTTTTCTGCTTACATAACCAGGTTTTGAGTTCCTGCTACAAGATTTCAAGCTTTACCAGGAAACTGCTGAAAGTAAATTTTATTTATTCAGAAATGGGTTAGGAAAGAAGAACCATGGAACCACAAATGTCCTGTCTGGGCTAGTGGGTAAAGCAGAAAGTGTAGATGGAATTTGCATCTCCAGCTGAAGGTGAACAAAGTAGAGGTTCTCCAGTGGAAGACACTCCAGCTTTCAGCAGCAAGCATTCTGAGATAGTGTTTTTCATAGACCATAATCAGGAAACTTCGTGGTCAGGAAATTAGTGGATATAAATCACTTGTATCTGTTTAAAACTGGTTTATATTTCACTGATATTTTGAAATTTTCACAACCTAAGGAACCGCTTGTTCATTATTTTTTCATACGTAACACAGTATATGTAGCATTGTGATTTGAAAAAGCTTCATTATTTGATAAAAAATAGATTTAAGAAATTTTATTCATTCCCTAACCAACTGAATTGGTTTCACATTGAAATTTGAAGTCTGTGGCTTTGTGATACTTAAATTTATTTTCTAATTAACTGCAAATTAACTGGTATGTGTCCAAAG